ATAGTTGTTCGAAAGCTAAAAAGAAGGACCACGTGTAAGGGAGCACTTAACATGACTGGAGACAACGTTTAAGTAGCTTTCTACAAGAGCGATGAAAGTAAACTTACAGGAACACAAGATAAAATGTTTATGCCTGAGCGGCGTCATGCTTTCTGGTCCCACACGCTCATCGGCCCACATCACGACCACGGCTCGAGACTACGGTTGCAACAGAATAAGTTACAAATTACTTTGGAATTAATCGTTTCAGACAAAATTGTCACTTATAACATTGTTACATGAAAGGTACATCAGTAACGGGCTTTCTTATTAACTTGTAACTTAAATTGTAACAAGATCAGTAACCTACTTCAGCAGAAATAATTTCAGTACGGTAACTCTTGTGTAACTTTTTAACAAAGCATGATGTTTAGTGTCAGATGGTAGAGTAAAGATTTGTTAGTTTATGTAAATTCTTCATTATGTTTTTTGACGTAGTTAATGAATTTTTTTGTTAATTTAGCCGAATAAACGACTTATGACTGGTGTGCGGTAAAAAAGAAATGGGGCAAAAGTAAGTAAATGCATCAATTAGCAGCTTTCTGTACATAATTAATGCAAGGAAGCCCACTGTCAGGTGACTGTAGGAAAACGTCTTTTATTTTAACTGGTAGCATGCTTAGTTGTGCAAACATTTCCACGATTTCCCCAGGCCCTGTCAGTGCCTGTAGCTGCTCGCCGAAGCAACGCAAGGTTGTATAACTACTGCCTGGGCGGATGCGGTAAAGCACGAACGGCCAACAGGGTGACGAGATGACGCATACGGGGCAAATTGACTTCGGCGCGACGCCGGCGCGCTCGAAATCGATTGACGAATACACATTCCAAGATACGCCCAAACATTGCAAAGTCTCAGTTGTGTCAATACTGCACCAAAAAAATTGATATGATTTCTAGGTCATCAAACGCAAAAAATATAACGTTTTTGAGAGCCTACTTCCCACGAATATTAGAAGAATAGAAGCGGTATGGATCATAAACATAAACAAATAATGTACTGGCATGAAATTAAACATTACGCCTACTTAGATGGAACTGATCAAAACATATGTTATTGTTATTAAAGATTCGGGCCAGTTACGTCATTTGTTTATAGGCTATTTATGATCCATACCGTTTGTGGTCTAAAATTCGTACTACTTCCTTGCCGATTTATAAGTTAACTCCTCCATTATGTACCCGCCTGGTTTTCTCTCGATTAGCAAAAATTGGCTCACTCTACATCTTTAGTCGAAACTGAAGAATATTGTTTTTATAATACCCCGCTGCAGCAAACCTGCAAACTAAGCGAATTTCCAGTTGCCTGATTCTGCTTTAATTAAAATATTTAAAAAAATACCAAATGTATTTGATTTCCTATAACATTTATGTTAATAATAACATTATGTTTGTACTTAAGTTTGCTGCTACAGGGAGGGTATAATGTGTGTTTTTTAGTAAAATGTTAATAGATTAGTATAAAATAAAATTTATTTTATTTTATACTAATCTAAATGCTAATTTTAAATCAAAATATATTCATAAACAAGCAAACAACAACAGATTATTTATTCAGAAAAAGAATAATAGAGAATTTTAAATTTACAGTTTTTATAATTTTTACACAATTACGGTATTAACCGTACAAAAACACTTCAAGTTACTCAACTATTTGGTTTTTTTAGCTCTACCAAAGAGTTTGGAGAAATATTGGAAAATTTCAGGTTTTGAAGGCAAAAAATTTGAAAAATCAATGGATGGAGTGCAAACTCGTTGAAATAAATATAGGTTTAAGCTTTTGAACGAAATTTAACAAAACTTTTGAACCAAATTTCATCAAAATCTGATAGTTTTTACTTGAGTTATCGTGCTAACGGACACACACACACATTTTATATACATACATATATAAATTTGAAAGGATGGTGTTTTTAGCCTCTGGGGACCTCAAAACAAAAAAGTCAATCAGTTCTGGGTCCAGGTCTTACCATGAGACCTATGGTAATAACTTATTCCCTACATGGGAAATTAGCTAAAAGAAGGACAAGCTACTAAAAAGTGAACATATTGATTAAGAATCAATTACAAAATATTTGTAATTTATAAGCTTATTATTTTAAGGTTTGTTCAAAGTTTTACCACATCATTTATATTTTAAAATTAATCTATGATCATACAAGCTGTGTTGTTTAGGATTTACCATTAAATTGAAAACACGATAAAAACTAGGGTTGTATCGCAATATTTTATAACTATTTCGTTTCTATAAATTTAGCTAAAAACTATCGGTTCTTGACTAAGACTAAATAGGCTAATGGAGAATCAATCGTGCAGAGTGGACATCAGTGCATATTATAGTGAACACAGAGTAATTGCTGACCTCAACCACATTGTGACATTCAAAAATAAAATAAATAATAAATAAAATAATAATAAAATATAAACAATAAATAAAATAAAATAGTTAATATGTGATATCTCATATCGCCTCCGTGTTTAATGATACTAGCCACTTATTAAACAAATAATTTTCATCCAAGCCTTTTTGGTTTGACCGGTAAGTAACAGGGAATGACTGGATAAAATGTATCTGGGTTTAAATTATCAGATTAGAGTACCTAAGTGTGCTCTTTACCTCAGCTCGGAAATCTCAGCTCGTGCTTCAGTTTGAACAGCGCCGTGAGAAGCGCTTGCAGATGTTTAAGTTCTCTCAAATTACTCAGTTAACTTTTAAAATCTTTTACATCTGGTTGATCTGAAGAAGGTTCCTTACTCCTTAGATTCAAATTTATGACTCTTGTCGTTTAAATTTTCTTATAAAAATTTATTTGTATGTGTAAAATGCTTGAGAAAAAAACTGATTTAGAAGAATTTACCATTCACATCCCAATTAAAATTCTACTATTAACAAAAAATTTAAATATTACAAGCTTACAAAAATAAGAAATGAATAAATTGACATAAATATATTTTCTATCGGTTAAGAACTAAGTCGACAATGACGGAGATCTAAAACCCCTGCATTAGCGCGCCGCAGAGAGGTAGAGCGCACCCTTAATTTAAAAATCCACCTGATCAAAAAGGAAAATCACAATAAATACCCTTGTCTGCATCAGTTTGTAATTTTTCAATGTATTAGAAAACTTAATTTGTTCCCTGTAATTCTTGACACATCAGACGCTTATTAGTACGTCTTTTAATACCTGGCGATTGTTAAGTATTGATGGATATTTCATACTTTTTCTATAAGTCCTAAAGGAGTGACAAAGGCCATAGATGGTTTAAATTACATATTGGTAACTCATACCATACATTTAATATTACAAGGTGTTTTTTTGAAACTCAATCAAAATAATTACAACTACGGTGAGACACTTTTTAGCTGTAAAACCAGCTCATGTGATGGTACAGTAGACTCTCTCTTATCCGGACTCCTCCGGACCGAGGCCAGTCCGGATAACAGTTTTTCTGGTTAAGACGACGTCCTCAAAAACTCGTTAAAACGGACCATTTACAGTGATATTGAACTTAAATTTAGGAGAGCATTGTATTTAGACATGTGATCACTGGTCTAAAATTTTTCCCACGAGAACAGTCGTTTCAGTACCGCCTCCTTCCTGCCGATATAGTCCGGTTAAACCAATGTGCTGATAAAAATTGTCCGGTTAAAGAGATGTCATTTTCGTCGAGTGTAGTCCGGTTAAACCGATGTCCGGTTAAGATAAAGGGGAGTCTACTGTATGTCTTACATGAAACTTGTATAAACATTTTCCTTAGTTCAAACTGTTAAAAGGTGTCCGGATATAAGAGGGAATCTGCTGTATCCCTTTTTTCTTTACCTTATTGTTGATAAGCTAATATGCATGGTTTAATATATCAATGAGGTTTAGTGTTATTAATAATTTTATTTTAAGTAAGACGTAATATGGTTTTTTACTCATGCTCAGAAAAAGCTTGCAAAAACCCCAAATTGTGAATTATTCACGATAAATTCCCACGATTGAGACTTTTGAAAGTTATAGGCTAATTGAACAATTTAAGTTTACTCAAAATAATTTTTTAAGAATACTAAAAACTCAAAGTAATAAACATGATACCTCTTTTCCATTATTTTCTGAGATAAAAATACTTCCAGTTCAGCATTTTAGAATGTGTCTATGTACATAGAGGAAATACAAGGACAAGCAATCCTTTGTAACATAATACTAGACAAAACAATCAAGGAATTTTCCTTACCTAGCGTAAACTCACTGTTCAGACATTCTTATAAGTATAATGGTCCAAAATACTTCAACCAACAGCTGGAAGATATCAGATTTTGTTTGACCTTAGATACATTTTCTTCAAAATTAAAACAATGGCTATTTAGTAAGCAGGACTTATATTTTTTCAATAATATTCTAAGCTAACTATTTACACTAATTACTTAAATAAATTTTTCCAGCAAATCTTTCAATAAATCTGTCAAAATATGCCAATTTGCTATTTTTTGTTTTCCATTTTAAAAGAAGGCAATCAAAAAAGTTTAGTTTTAACATCATTTTTGTTTTTAGTTGTATTCTGTTGAGAGAGGAGTGGACTCAGGGTCCCAAAGTTTTTAGTTACTGAAACTTTTAAATAATTCAATTTGTTGATACTTAATAGTTACAGTTTTACCATCTATATCTAGGGCACCACAAAGAGTGGCAACTTGTATTTTTCAAGTAGTCTCTTCAGTTAGTTGTTTAAGAAAATGTTTTTCATTTTTACGTTTTCCACAAGACAACGAGAGGATGATGTGACGGTAGGATGATAGGATGATGTGGCAACGTAGTTCCAAAAAAATGTATTATTTTGAATATATTTGTTTTGAAAAAATAAACTCATTATTTCATTTAGTTTTATTTTACCTGATTTATTTTACCCCTTTGGCAGCCTATGGTAGTAGGCCTAGACAATAGAGCTGTACTAGATAATCTAAACCTAACAGCCAAAACCCTTACCTTAGTGAAAGAACTTCCACATTAGGTAGTCTTCTTACGAGTGACACATCTTGCAGTTCGCTTCCCCTGAAAAGAAAAGAGATAAATAACTTAGCAAAACAAATTGAATCAATCTAGTACTAATCAGTCTACACTTTGTAATTCACAAGCCCAATAAATCCAAATAAAAGCTCAATTTGTAGAGAACCTCTTAATATTTTGAGGTTTTACCATGCATTTTGATACACTCGTTATTTCTAAGTCCAAACAGTAGGACTAATTCAAAGCGTCGTTGGCAAAACACTCGGCTAATTCTTGATAATTCAAATTTATTTGCTTAGCCCACCAATTTTGAATTAGCAAGATTAGTTTTAAAAAATCTTGGTTAGCGCCAGATCTGACAAATAGTTTTACAACGGATTTCACAGTAATGAGTGAATTGTCTCACTTAAACAGGGTCTTAACTATTAAGCTTTTAGTAGGCTACTGGGTGATGACTCACTCGTGTTGGTATTTGAAAAAAGTATTAGGCCTATTTATTTTTGAAAACTTTGGTTAAGTTAGTTGCATATTATGATCAGTAGTGATGGACTCAGGCTACACTTTGTATAGGTGGAGACTATGGGCTGAAAGGCTTAAGTCCTGAGCACAAAACTTTTAGAGGGGAAAATGTTCAAAAAAATTTACATTATTGTAGGAGTTACCTACCTATAGAGTTATTGCTTGTTTAAGTTATGAATATGTTAGCCCATGATCATTTTTCAAAAATTAATTTATTGCTTACCTAGTCATTAACGTAAAAAAAATACACTTTAGCCTATTACATTCCAATCATTGTAGCAGTAAACCGAAGTACTCACTACACCTCATTTTATTTAAAAATGGAATAAAATGTTAAGCTAATATTTCATTGGAAATCCGTTCAGTCAAATAGAAATATATGATAAGTGGACAAGAGTTTACTTTCTTGATTCATTGAATCCTTCACTAATCATTGTCTCAGTAAAACAACATTTTTAACATAACCTACAAACCTAAGTTCGTTTCATTCAAAATTGCAAAATTCCATATTTTAGTCCCTGGTGATGTATCGGATTAGATTGAAGGATAATAGGTGTATACTGATTAAGTCAATTTCATATTCATATTATATGTTTGCCTTAACTGAATTAATCTACGGGTGCCAAGTATACTTAGTACACTAAGACAACTTTTTAGGTTACTACCCTACATACATTCAATGAAAATGGTTTGGATTTCATTTTAAGGGATTAACTAATTGCAATATATTTACCCAGCCAACTAACTTAGTCTTAAACCAGTGAACATAGGTGTTTAATTTATTTATAAGGATTTCTTACCAGCAATTTAGTTTGGAGACTGCAGTTAAATTAGATTGACGCGTTCTGGCATGAACCATTTCTTCCGTTAACTTAGCCATTGTATTTGTGAAACAATTACACACTCATATTCTGCTGTTTAGTAGGGCCTAGCTAAACAAAATTTACATTATTATTCCACTGAACGTAAAAATTCCCCTTTGATATCAAAACACTCACTCCGACCACACACAGATAACGATGATTGTGCCATTCCGCAAGCGAACTAGCTAACAGTAACAGAAAGAAAACAGAACAACAACAGTGAAAGAACAGACAGAACAATAATACTTTGACATTTCTAACTTGGAATATCGGCAGACCTCGGACCAGCTGATGAGCTACAGCTAGCTTCTATGGCTATGCTGCTCTACAGGTTAGCCACTACAGAACAGTCTGCCAATAGTCCCGATGTTATGAAATTCCATCCACAAGAATTTATTGAGATACTATAAGAAGATTAGTATGTATGTAACCGGCAAATTCGGTCATTCAATATAATGATTAGGCATTCTATACAATGCCTAAAATTGATCAGGCAAAGTATTGAATAAAGCTAATTTATATATTTTGCCTAGTCATTCTATAGAATAATAATGCACGTTGGAAACAGGCATAACAAAAAAAAAACACCATGCTGTTCATTTAACTATGCTACAGATCCCATGTAGCACAGATGGTTGGGCCAACGTTGGCCAACTGTGGGACAGTTGGTCGATGGTTGGTTGGAGCTTCCACAACCAACCAACCGTTGTCCAACTGTATATCTCGTAGTTGGGCCAACCAATATTTACACCTGTGGACCAACATTGGTTCATTGTTAATGAAATACATTAATATGCATTGCTGGGTATCATACATCAAGCCAACCGTTGTCCAACCGTTTTTCACTCCGTTGGACCAACAAAAGATACTTTTGTTGGACCAACGATGGTCCATAGTTGAGTTTACACGACTTTCATTCTCTGGGTCTAGCTTTCACAACATAATTATAATAAAATATCTGGTTTTACAATACCTTTATCAGTTCCAAAAGTTTCCAAAAGTTTTTGGAACTGATAAAGGTATTGTAAAACCAGATATTTTATACAGTTCCGGGGCTACAACAATGAATTTTAATAATTATAATAATGCAAATATTTTTTAAAATAATATTCTTTAACTTATTTGCAACAATTTAAGGGGAAAGAGTAATTAATCATATAACAGGCAATTATAATAGCATTAATAATCTAACAGTAATTAATTAATATATATTCAAATACCAGTATCCTCTCTAACTAAAAAAAAAAAAAACTACTTATGATGCCTTAACAGATTAACAGAATCATATTATACTGTGTAGTATCAAAAATGTTTGAAGTATTGCGACCATTGCAACTGTCGGCTACTCTTTCACCACTTGAAAACTCTCTATATCAACAATCACAGATAGCTCAGTGGTAAAGTAAGAGGCTCATAAGTCGAAGGACCCGGGTTCGAGACCCGTCTGGGCCGAAAAATTTTGTTCTAGCTTTTTTTCAAAATTTGTTTTTATGAACTATTTAATCAATTTACTCAACTAATAATTATGCTTTTCGTACTAAATCTTTATTATTTTGAGTGAAATAAAACGGTTGGTCAATGGTTGGATGGAAAACAGTTTAAAGAGGTGACATTTCTACCGTTGGCCAACTGTGTGGCTCCACAATTTACCAACGTTGGCCCAACCATCTGTGCTACATGGGATGAAGTGTAATGCGCCGTTTTAGGACGTTTTAGATCATGTTCTTGTTTGGTATTAAATTATCTGATTTGAAATAAACTAAACTACGGTACCTATTGTTTTTTAAACAAATATCTTTAGTTAATACTTTGCCTGACACACGTGTGGGCATTCTATAGAATGAATAGGATGCTATCATATAGTGTTAATAATTTATTCCACTTTCTCTTCCCAATCAATCCCTTAAAGCAGTTCGAAGCGAGTTTAATTGGGAAGGCTAACGTGTTGGGAAGTCACAAAAATTGTAGAATTTGGGGAGTCTCAAACCCCAGGATCATGATTTAAAAAGAAAGGAATAGTCCAAAACTAAATGTTTGGTGCGGTGTAATGCATATGACCACTCATATGGACCGTTATTCTTTCGGAAGAAAATGTGAATAGGTTTGTTTACTTGGATATTTTGGAGTTGTGTTGTCCCTCAATTAAGAACTGCAGCCTATCATAATTTTCCAGCAAGACGGTGGCCCCACCCCATTATTGGGTTAAATGTGTCATGGATTTTTTAAATCTCCACTTCCCCGGACGCTGGATCGAGCGTGATGGCCCGACGAAATGTCCACATCGTTCCCCTGATGTAACCCCCATGGATATCTTTTTATGGAGATTTGTCAAGGACGCTGTCTATTCTTCCCCAGTTCCTAATTTACAAACACTGAAGGAGATAATCAGGAATGCTGTGGCGTCTGTAACCCAGGATATGCTGGCTAAAACCTGGGACGAACTATAAAGACGTCTAGAAGATCCGCAGGCCTCTGGTGGTGCACACGTAGAGTTTTTTTTTAAGTTTGTACATATAGCTATAAAATCATAAGAAGTTGCCTGTTATATCTGTAAATAGATCTTTATCCTACTATCACTCGTTTTCATACTATGCGGTTTCCTTATCAGGCCAAGACTTTGTGGACACCCTGTATATCCATAAACAAGACAAATACAACAGTTCTTTATCCTCCATAAGAATAACATGGGAATTTTAAATTAAAAATTGTATAATTACTATCTCTGTAACCGTTAGTCATACAACAAAGCTTCAATGTGCAAAAATATATCTTTTTTTAAGCTCTACAAAATGGTCTGGAAAGAATTTGTGAAATTTTATGTTTTAGAGTCAAAAATGGGAAAACCCAATTTTTACCCCATAAAACCCCGTAACCATAGTCCTATCATGCTGGTTCACGAACTCATTCAATAAACGTAGGTTATACGTTTGTACCAAATTTCATCAAAATCGGATCAATTTTGCTTGGGTTATCGCGCTAACATATATATATGAATTTGAACGGAGGGTGTTTTTAGCCTATAGGGACCTCAAAACGAAAAAATAAATCGGTTCCGGGTCTAGGTCTTACCATGAGGCATACGGTAATAGCTTATTCCCTATATGAGAAATTCGCTAAAAATAGTGACGTTTTTGTTGGGTGATTTTGAAATTATGAAATGGCCATGCCATGGGCGCCCACAAGGGGGTGCAAGTGCTAATAAAATAGGAAATAAATTTAAAAGCAAGGATGTTATATTGTGTAATTTAAAAGTTTTATAATTTGTAAGGTTGGGATAAAAACGACGACTTACCCTCCATGCACAATATACTATTTTTATTTGGTGCATGGTCTTTACTAATTATCAAATAGAGTGAAAATTTGTTTTGAAACACCATGTTTTCACAAATTTTGGTAAGTCCCCCCCCCCCCAGATCTTCTGTATGTTCGTTATCTATTGCATCCCCCTGTTCCCAATACTGTGGGTGCCCACTCTGCCCATGCTCTGCTCATTATAGAGAGAAATTGGGACAGTCTCTTCATCCAACACATAATAAACAGTATCAGCAATCTGACACATTCTTTCTCCCATTAGATTGTCAACCAAACCACCTGTATAAGCGGTAAGCGGTAAGCGGTGGGAGTAAGTATTGTATTTAATAGGGAACGTCAAAAACGTTGCAATAACTTTTGGACCATTATTTTTACAGCAATGGATAGTCCCACTATTTTGTTTAGAATTATAAGGACCAAAACATACTACTTGTAATCAAAACTGGCTTATTTTTGAAAATCAGATTTTTTGTTATATTTATGGGTTTTTTTTCATGGAAGAGAGAGAGAGAGGGAGAGATAATATATATATATATGTGTCCGTGAACATGATAACTTGAGTAATTTTTGCCAGATTTTGATGAAATTTGGCTTGAAGGTGTAGGGCAGGATAAACTTGAATGATTTCGGAAACCAGCATGATCGGACCATGGGAATGGGGTTTTATGGGGTAAAAATAGTTTTTCTCATGTTCGGCCCTCTAAACAAAATTTTTTTAAATTTCTCTCTAGACTATTTTCAAAAGCTTAAAAAACAAATAATTTAGTATATTGAAGTGTTTTTGTATGGTTATTGATTACGGAGAAAATTCAAAAAATTGTAAACTTAAAATTCCCATGTTATTCTTATGGAGAATAAGTAAACTGTTGTAGTTTGCTTGTTTATGGATATATTTGGATCAAGCTTAGTAAATTTATTTATTTCATACTAAGCTATTAATATTTTACTAAAAAGACACCTTATTATATTCCCTGTAGCACCAAATCTAGGTACTCGTTAAACCAAATGTTATTTAAATAGAATTTATTGTTAATAAAATTAAGCGAATGGAAATTTACTTAGTTTGGAGCTTTGCTATATATCCAAAATTCTTTTTTATATTCTACACTTTATAATCCAAAACATGTACATTTACTTTCATATAACATGAAAAATTTCCAAAGCCCACACCAATAGTTAGAAATAACAATAAATGACAGGAGACAGGAGTAATGAATTCAAGTTGACAATAAGTTGAAATCAGCTCTTGTATCTTTATAGTCTTCCAGACTTTCTGTAAACAGTATCTTTTTTTTAACCTTCCATCAACATGAAATTGATAGGATCAATGGTGAAGTTTTGCAAAAATAAGGAAGCCACTATGGAAACTGTTACCTTCAACAATTTGAGACTAAAAAACACTACAAAAACTGCAGTTTGCAAGCTAAATGTTTTGCATAAAGGGAGATAAGCCAAAAAAAAATAATGTTGTCTAAACATACCAAATGACAATGACAGTATGCGTGGCAGGTGAAATACTTTGTGGACTGGATGGAAATGGTTTGCCAATTCCATTTTCCTTGTCTTGGATTTAGATATTGGTAGGATTTAATGTGTACATTAGAGAAAAAAATTGAACAAAATAAAGTAAAAAAATTCAGAAAAATACTCTGTGTTTTAACTGTTTGGGCTGGGTGAGAAAGTTACATTGAAAAGTCATAACCCTCCAGTTCCAGAAATCTCCAACAAACAAAATATGTTTCCTACAGTTACCTGACATAGCCGGCATTCTAGTACTGATAATAGCATACAAAGTAGCCAATTGTTACATTTACTTACTTTTGCCACACTGATTTTTTGCTGCACTCCACTATTTCAACCAAATAACACAAAACAGTGTGCTTTTATTAGGCTGTAATACGTGTACGCTTGAAAATTAATTTGGAACACTTAAAGATACTACGTCTATGATCAGCTGGGGCAGTGTTTCCCATTTTGTTTGGATTTAACCTAACCTAAAACGTGTTGTTTAGTGTTTGAAAGACTAATTATTTCTACTATGCTTTACAATAACTGAGGGAAAAATATAATGTGCAACACAAGTGCAAATTGCCTTTGCTACACTCGCCTACGGCCCAGGATGAGTAAACATTTCTCTCGTGTGCAACAAAGTGCCACTTCGCCCACTAGTTAAACAAATAACTATAGCTTGCTTTGTAGAAGCCTTTTGGTGAACAAGTCTATTGCAGTAATTAAGTAGCCTAACAAAACAAAATCCATTCCATTGTTGGCATTAACAGCTGTGTTAATTAAGGCAAACAGAAAGTACACTGGTTTATGTTTGCACCATTATTTTTTACACAACCAACATATTTTAGGCTTTAATTGTTATTCAATAAGTTTAACACATAAGTATAAAGGATGGTCGGAAAGAGAAATACGGTAAAGTACACCAATTATAAAAGAATATATATGAATTTATTTTACACAAAAATATAAAAAGTAGGTTACTAATGCGACAATATGACTAATGTAATGTACATCATTCCACTTCTGGAAGGCTTGAGGGAAGGGAGCAGGCGAGGAGTCAGATGTATCTACTATGCATCCAAGATAAGCCAAGTGAAACACAGCCAACATGGACCATAGCCAGTTCACCACCTGTGATAACAGACACTTGTGAAACACACAGATAAGCCAAGTGAAACACAGCCAAACATGGGCCATAGCCAGTTTACCACCTGTGATAACACACAGATAAGCCAAGTGAAACACAGCCAAACATGGGCCATAGCCAGTTTACCACCTGTGATAACAGACACTTGTGAAACACGCAGATAAGCCAAGTGAAACACAGCCAAACATGGGCCATAGCCAGTTCACAACCTGTGATAACAGACAGATAAGCCAAGTTAAACACAACTCATCTTTAAAACAGTAAACATACTATTCCTGCGGTGCTATGCAGGACAGCCTAGCATAAGCTAGTTAGTCTTTAAGGATTCTGATGACGAAAAAATATATCCTCAACTAGGATTTTTTGAGAGGATAGCAGGCTTACCTGAATGGGAAAGAGTCCAAACTGGCACAGGAAACACAAAACAAAACTTTACACTATATACACAAAACATTAGAATATTTCACTGTCACTGACAGCATTTTCAACTAAGGAAGAGGAAGAGATAGTTTTCTAGATGTCCAAAATGGTGGCCAGTGAGTTGTTGAGTCAGTGTTGCCAATAGTATGAATTCAAAAAACACAGTTTCAGTTTATCTTTTATGCACTATATATATATGGATAAATATGTAAGCCTGCTAGTTGGGTTGGATATTGAAGTGGAGTGGGTTAGATTAAAGGTATTATCTCAGGTTTAGGTTTGGGGGTTGTCTAGACTTAGTAAACCATTGATAAGACAATTCCCATCTTCTCAGTTGTGACTGGTTACATTGAGGGGGCAGTGATTTGACTATTTTGGTTGTAAAGCAGTCATTGAAACTAGGGTTGTTGTGGCTCTGGGCATGTTGTACAACTGGTTTGTCTTTGTATCCAGTAGATACATTTTGTCTATGGCCATTCATCCTGGTTCTGAGGCTATTGGTGGATAGGCCTACATACTGTGCCTCACATTTGTTACATTGTAGTTGGTAGATAATGTTCTTCGTTTCACAAGTGTTGAAGCCTCGGATGTTGTAGTTTTCTTTGGTTGTGGAACTGGAAAATGTTTGGCTGGGTTGATTTATTTCACATGTTTTACATCTCTTGTTATCACAGGGATATGAACCGTTAGGCCGTGCGTTGTTTGGGTTGTTGTTGGCCGGGTCAGGAACTTTTGGGTGGACTAGTATTTTTCGGAGATTGGGTGGTTGTCTAAAAACAATGTTAGGTGGATCATTCAAAAAATTGATGGTGTGGTTGGAGGCCTTGAGGATTTTGAAGCCCTCTTTTAAAATGCCATTCAATGAATGTAGTCCTTGGTGGTAGTCTGTGACAAGAGCAATGTTTTGGCTATTTCGTTTTTCATTATTTGGTTGTGGATGGTCTTGCGCTAAGCGGATTTGGTTCTCCACCAGCTTTCTAGGGTAACCCCTTTTTATGAATGCGTCAGATATTTTGTTATTGAACTTGTTTAATTCATCATCGTTGCTGCAGATCCTTTTGCCCCTGATGGCTTGACTGAACGGGATGGATCTTTTGGTGTTCTTTGGGTGGTTGCTGTTAAAATGTAAATATTGTAGATGGTTGGTAGGCTTGAAGTGTACACCGGTTTGTATGAGTCCATCTTGAATATTTATTTCTAGGTCCAGGAAAACTATTGTTGATGTTGAGATGTTGCTGGTGAATTTAAGGGAACTGAAACTGTTAAGGCTGTCAATAAACTGTTTTAAGGAGTCTGAGCCTGAGGTCCACAAGATAAAAATATCGTCTATAAACCGGAACCAACACAAAGGTTGTACTTTTTGGGATTGTAGGAAACATTTTTCGAGTTTCCCCATGAACAGATTTGCGTAGGATGGGGCCGTGCCTTTAGCATGGCAGTGCCTTTAGTTTGTAAGTAGTTTCTACCTTCAAATTGAAAATTGTTTTTTTCTAGAATGAACTTAACCATGTTCAGTAGGAAAGAAGTTGAGGGCTTAGTGTTTTTGGGGCGTTGATCCAGGAAAAATTCTATAGCCGCAAGTCCATGTGTAAGGGGGATGTTAGTGTACAGGGAAGTTACATCTATGGTAGCCAAAATCGTCCCAGGAGGAAGAGGTGTTGGTATGGTTGTCAGCCGTTCTAAGAAGTGGTTGGATATCCGACAAAGACACCTACAAAGAGATTGATGAAAACCCAACCAACGATTTTAATACTGAACTCACACAGTGGCTCGTTAAAGAAGCACCTCTCCAAAATATTTCCCCTGAATCAATAAGACTACTCATAAATGACAACCCCTCTACCCCTCAATTTTACATACTGCCCAAGATACACAAAAACGTCTTTCCACCCCCTGGCCGACCTATAGTTGCCAGTTGCAATTCTGCCACGGAAAGAATCTCGGCATATGTAGATTCTCACCTGCAACCTTTTGTCAGAGAATTACCTTCACATGTTAAAGACACCAACCACTTCTTAGAACGGCTGACAACCATACCAACACCTCTTCCTCCTGGGACGATTTTGGCTACCATAGATGTAACTTCCCTGTACACTAACATCCCCCTTACACATGGACTTGCGGCTATAGAATTTTTCCTGGATCAACGCCCCAAAAACACTAAGCCCTCAACTTCTTTCCTACTGAACATGGTTAAGTTCATTCTAGAAAAAAACAATTTTCAATTTGAAGGTAGAAACTACTTACAAACTAAAGGCACTGCCATGGGTACGAGGATGGCCCCATCCTACGCAAATCTGTTCATGGGGAAACTCGAAAAATGTTTCCTACAATCCCAAAAAGTACAACCTTTGTGTTGGTTCCGGTTTATAGACGATATTTTTATCTTGTGGACCTCAGGCTCAGACTCCTTAAAACAGTTTATTGACAGCCTTAACAGTTTCAGTTCCCTTAAATTCACCAGCAACATCTCAACATCAACAATAGTTTTCCTGGACCTAGAAATAAATATTCAAGATGGACTCATACAAACCGGTGTACACTTCAAGCCTACCAACCATCTACAATATTTACATTTTAACAGCAACCACCCAAAGAACACCAAAAGATCCATCCCGTTCAGTCAAGCCATCAGGGGCAAAAGGATCTGCAGCAACGATGATGAATTAAACAAGTTCAATAACAAAATATCTGACGCATTCATAAAAAGGGGTTACCCTAGAAAGCTGGTGGAGAACCAAATCCGCTTAGCGCAAGACCATCCACAACCAAATAATGAAAAACGAAATAGCCAAAACATTGCTCTTGTCACAGACTACCACCAAGGACTACATTCATTGAATGGCATTTTAAAAGAGGGCTTCAAAATCCTCAAGGCCTCCAACCACACCATCAATTTTTTGAATGATCCACCTAACATTGTTTTTAGACAACCACCCAATCTCCGAAAAATACTAGTCCACCCAAAAGTTCCTGACCCGGCCAACAACAACCCAAACAACGCACGCCCTAACGGTTCATATCCCTGTGATAACAAGAGATGTAAAACATGTGAAATAAATCAACCCAGCCAAACATTTTCCAGTTCCACAACCAAAGAAAACTACAACATCCGAGGCTTCAACACTTGTGAAACGAAGAACATTATCTACCAACTACAATGTAACAAATGTGAGGCACAGTATGTAGGCCTATCCACCAATAGCCTCAGAACCAGGATGAATGGCCATAGACAAGATGTATCTACTGGATACAAAGACAAACCAGTTGTACAACATGCCCAGAGCCACAACAACCCTAGTTTCAATGACTGCTTTACAACCAAAATAGTCAAATCACTGCCCCCTCAATGTAACCAGTCACAACTGAGAAGATGGGAATTGTCTTATCAATGGTTTACTAAGTCTAGACAACCCCCAAACCTAAACCTGAGATAATACCTTTAATCTAACCCACTCCACTTCAATATCCAACCCAACTAGCAGGCTTACATATTTATCCATATATATATAGTGCATAAAAGATAAACTGAAACTGTGTTTTTTGAATTCATACTATTGGCAACACTGACTCAACAACTCACTGGCCACCATTTTGGACATCTAGAAAACTATCTCTTCCTCTTCCTTAGTTGAAAATGCTGTCAGTGACAGTGAAATATTCTAATGTTTTGTGTATATAGTGTAAAGTTTTGTTTTGTGTTTCCTGTGCCAGTTTGGACTCTTTCCCATTCAGGTAAGCCTGCTATCCTCTCAAAAAATCCTAAAAAATCTAGGCCCTTGTGCTCTATGCTACACCCATATCCTCAACTAGTTTAGTTAAAATTCAACATTATAGGATGGAATCAAAGAGGTAGTGAAGTTTTATGAAGTTCTGGATATTTTGCGAGACAGATATTTCATCAGATGTTCAGTAACCCAAGGCTGAACTTAAATCAGCTTACTGAGAAAAACCACAAATATTCGCAGCTATGTTCTGGGAAAAAAGTTCACTGTAGTAACTGATATATATATATTATATTACTATTTTATGTAACGACTACTCAATGCTTAACTGATGTATGATTTCTCTTCTCTCTTCCACTTTACCTCCAGAAAGCTAAGTAACATGTCTGAAAAAATTCTTAATTAAAAATATTTTGTGTCGTGATTATCGAAGCCCATGAAAGAATACGAGTAACTTTACTGTACATGGATAGTTTCCCCAAACCCTTTCCAGGTCATCGTCAGGAGAAAAATTGTAATGTGTGTTGATAAGTCTTCACGTATGAGGGAACCACAATTTATGATACTCAACCATAAAAATCTTACATACCGTAACTGGCAGAAGTCGTGCAGTGTGTTTGTGACGTGTGCACACATTTGGGCACGGCCGAGCGGCAACACAAGCGTCCAACATTACCGACAATCGGTAGCGGATACTGTGCTCGACAAATGTGTAGATCCCCAGAGACATCAGTATGGCCGCAAGAGGATAGTGAAGTCCATGTAATAGAGAACTAACTGTGTATGTTGCCATGACTGCAACTAGACCCCCATACTGGCTTGTAGTCCGGAAAACATCTTTAAAAAAAATACAACCTTAAAAAAATTAGGTCATGCATTTTTTTTAAGAATACAGCAGACTTATTATTTTCAGCCAGGCAATTTTTTTCTCTTTTATTTAACTATAATTTTGAGCTTGAATAACTTAAGTGCAAAGTTATGAATAAAGTCGATTAGTTAAATTGTAATAGGATTTTTAATGAACACGTGTTTTAAATGTTAACTAACACCATTAATCATGGAACAGTCCTTGATTGCAGACATGATAAATACAACAGCTACATAGCTGTTGTGAAAATCGCACAAACAAAAATTTAAGAAAGTCAATTTCCTTACACAGCTTTAGCCATTTGTGCATGTACTTGTTCCACGAAACAACCACCTGAACTAAGGAGTGGGGCAGTTCTATGTGACGGGGCTCTGAGACACTGAGAGTCCATTCCCCACCTGGCCCCGCCCCTAGACCACTGAGCACTGCCACAGTTTCTGACACATATGACACAAAGTAGTGACTTGTCCTGAACTGTAGAGCATCTCTGTACAAGCCCCACCATCTGAAAATCAGAAAGAGGAAACCACTATGATTTATATGTTGTCTGAAGCAAGCAACAGTTTGCACAGAAAGCCTAAAATTAGGCCAAAGCGCCCGGGGTCATAGTCCATTCTTGTTCAGTTAATTAATCCATCGAGACTAGTACTTTTAAATTGTATTTTTGTTCTCAATTGATAATGATAGTCAATAGTTAATTTGACAAAGTACAAAGCGTATGTCAGGAGATATGTTGAAATTAAAAGCTATATACTTACAAGGGTGATTCTGGGGGGATTAACCAATCCACCAAACAGACAGAGGTTGAGAAACTAACAAGGGCAAGGAGAAGACTCCGGCAAGTCATCAGTGCCCACTCTTTGTTCTGTCAACAAAAGAACAGTCTTCATTTATTACTTACCTAAGTATAAGCATTCATTATCATTTTAATATGCAAGACATAAGGCAATAAGAAAAAGGATTTCATAACAGTAGATCTTCAATTTTCTAAAATGTGACTGATCAAATTAGTCTAATTGGTTTTAGAACAAAAATTAAGACAAATTCATACATGTAGAAAGTAGATACATTAATCATGACAACCCTAAACAAATGTTTTTGGAATTAAATAGAGGTAGAAAACTCTTTTAATAAAAAATCATGTTATACTTAAGATCCTTTAAAAAAAAGGATTAGTTATCTAAATTTCTTATTACTTAAATGGAACCAACCAAATCATTTGGTATTACTACCGACCCAAACTAATAAATACAAAAATATTCAATAGGAGATTTTAAAAATTTCATCAGCAGTAATAATCACATTTCACATCAACAAACACTAACGTCAATTATCTTATGAGAAAATCATTGAGTGAATCTTAACCGTTACTTTGGTGGGTCAGTGGATAAGTCAGTAGCATGACGGACTACAAACCAGTAACGGCATAGGTTTGAGAGGTCAATGCCGCGGCTACTAAAATTATTAGTCTACCGGTACAGTGCTTTTTTACAGTCTTCACCCTTTGCATTGCTTGATACATTCCATGCACTGGCTTGAGGTCCATGTGAACGGTCTTGACTTATCTCCTTTCACTCCTGCACGGAGCATAGGGCCTCCACGAAACAACGCCATCGGACTCGGTTGTGAACGGTCTAATGTATGATTAAAAGACGCTATTCTAGAGGTTGAATACCTTGCTGCCAACGTAATGCTTGTTCATCGGAATGGTGACCTAAACCCCCAGCTGCACCGTGATCATTAGTTGTATGGCCAAACAGTATTATTTCTTCGTAAAAATTATTGTTTATGTCCGTGTCTCGTGTATGTTTTCTTGAGATCTTTTTGACGACCTCCTGGAGCAACAACTACATTTCTAAGGCTTGATAATGACACCTTAAGAGTGTCAAAACCGGTCGCCATTCAGATGATCAAGGATCACATAGGCAATAAGATATTTAACCTTTAGAATAGTAATTGTTAAGTAATCCGAAAGACAACATCTCAAAAAAGAAGATAAAAAGGCTGCTTACTTAATAAATAGAGCTTTAATCAGTGTAATTCCTAGCAGAATTTATGTGAACTGATCAAAAATTGTGAGAATTTATAAAATAATCATGTTACGTATGATAGAGCTAGAAAACTCACCCACACTGGGGACACGTAAATGTTGAGGTAGTCATTGAAGGAGCACCACACCCCGAACACTGAGGTCCCTACACAGAGGACATAACCGCAGTACTCCCACACGGAGGGGAAACTACGGAGGGATCCACTATCTAGATCAAAGGCTATGGAGACCACTTTCATGACAACAAGCATCTCAGGTCCCCTGATCTTCTGCCATGACTCTGGTTCAAGGAAAAACTCACTGTAACGTATAAAACAACTACTAGGAAAAAAAGATCAAAACTATTGGGCACAATTCCTTTCCATTTCATATGGGATACATAGAAGATTTTGCAATATAGAAAACATGAAAGGTGTGGAGAGTGTGTTTTCCTACAACTTTCACTTCACAATCTAAGTATATTGTTATCCTGTCGTATAGTCTATTAGATTAGCAAATTTGGGAAAAGTTGTTTTACAGACCTGGGAGATGGAGCCATTTTTCTGACAAATAAAAAAAAGATAGGCCTACAGTTTTTAAGGTAACATTAAGAGAATTTAAATTATTTAACATATTTACTAGACCATCTACGATAATTACACAATGCTTTGAATTAATTCATCATTGTATATTTTTACTATTGTATGCATTGAGTTTACACAAGTTTGATGTATGGATTCTTGAGATACACAAATTATTAATGATGTAAATTTTATGCCTACACAAGTTTAGGTAGCCAGCAGTAGTCTACATGAGCTCACACTTATTACAATTGCTGGCCCTTTTGATTATAGAATTTACCACTCCATTTGCTGAATAGTGTAATTTTTATTGGGGTGAATTATATATGATTTATATTTTCATCTCTTTGTAAATAGCAAATGAAATCAATAAAAATAAATAAATGTTGGGTGACTAATCTTCAAGAGTCACAGAATCATGACGTCTCTAACTTATTAATAACCAAAACATCATTTTTTCAATAATCAAATTATCAGTTCAAAACTACAAAATACTTACTTTCCAATGAGGTAGGTGAAAGATAGGATGCTGACTATTGGTCCATGACTCAGCTCTAGACTGTGTAGAATAGACAGAACAACATAAGCAGCAACGACTAGGACGAGCAAATCCACCACAAGGCCTTTGAAGAAAAACGCGAGCGCATAAAGGCCCAGCAAGGAAGACACCAAGTGCCTCAATACCATAGGGACAGCAACTGTGAAGGAAAAACAAGCTTACTTATGCATGAAATGAATATAGAATAGTTATTTGTGTTAACTAGTGGGTGAAGTGGCACTTTGCTGCAGCGTTTCCCATTTCGTTCAATGTTTGGATTTAAGCTAACCTAAAAACATGTTGTACAGTGTTTGAAAGACATATTATTTATATGATTTACGTATGATTTATTTATATGATTTATTTATATGATTTATTTATATGACTTACATATTATTTATATGATTTATTTATATGACTTACATATTATTTATATGATTATGTAACTGTATAGGAAAAATATAACGTGTAACACGAGTGCAAACAGCCTTTGCTGAACTCGTGAAACTTTCCACACTTGCCTACGGCTCGTGCGTAAACATTTCTCTCATGTGCAGCGACGTGCCACTTCGCCCACTAGTTACACAAATAGCTAATGTTTTCACAGAAATATTTAATAGAAAACCATATCAGTAAATATTAGTCTGCAGATTTGCTGTGGCAGGGGATTATTTTGTAAAGCAATCTAGTTTAAAAACTGTATAAAGATAAAAATATCTCGTTAGTCTGCATCCCTTTAAAGTCATTTTTGAGTAGGCCTAATTAATGACATTAATATGACTAACTAAACTGTAGGAAAACAGTGCATAAATCAACATCAATAACTCAAAACTTGTAAATTCTTTTAATAATGGAACCTTGGAATTACCTGGCCACCATGGACAGAGTTATCTGTATTGGAACAACTTAACATTTTCATGTCACTTAATATTGTTTTAATTAAATTTCATAGGATCAATACACATTTGGGAACTTTGGTATTATTCGGAGGCCACCATTATACAGCGTGCTACGGCGGTTATGTTAGGTTGGGTTATCATAAATATGTTTGCAGAACTTTCCTTGCTTCGCTATGAATCGAAAGATACCAGATGAGTCATACTTTCGCCTGCCAAATCCCTTCCAAGTAGGCCAAGATCAGGTCGTTGACTGGAGTACAGGACTACTACATCACCTGTCACCGCCTGTGGCTGGGTCAGTGTCCTAAATGATGACTCATCTGGTATCGTTCGATTCATAACAAAACGAGGGTCCTACAAACATATTTATGATAACCCAATCTAACATAACTGCCGCAGTGCCCAGTATACCTACTTGGCGGAGTACATTTGCCAGCTAGCGGCGGAGATGCATTCAATTCAATCCTCGGTCGCTGACATCGCTGCCTTCTGGGAGGCATAACTCAAAGGCCGCTATTCGTAATCATGTCAAATTTGGACTGTAAGTCAATTTTTTTAAAGTATGTTCTTTCCAATTATGTAGTTATTTTTGGTCTCCAGTAAAAAAAAAGAACCCTCTAAAATAAGTGGCCTTTGGATAATACCAAAGTGCCCACGTTTGTTCAATCAGTTGTTACAAAGAAACCATAAAGGCATACCCAGTTGTGTGGAGAGCCTGAATACTAGACAGGAGACAATCAAGTGTAGCAGAGGTGAGACTAATCCTCGTAATGTTGGTGTGAGACAATGCTCAAACACCAACCAAAGCCCCGACCCTTCCTCCTCGTCCACTTCCTGTGTATACATCGGCTCAAACTCCTCATAATCTTCATCTTCATACATCATTCACCACCTGAAACATCTTCAAAGTTCAGAGGGAGTATTTTTAGCGAATTTCCCATATAGGAAATAAGCTATTACCGTAGGTCTTATGGTAAGACCTAGACCTGGGACCGATTAACTTTTTCGTTTTGAGGTCCCCAGAGGCCAAAAACACCATCCGTTCAAATTCATATATATATATATATCTGTCCGTTAGCGCTATAACTCGAGCAAAAGTGATCCGATTTTTATGAAATTTGGTACAAATGTGTAAACCTACGTTTATTCGAACGAGTTCGTGAACCAGCATGATCGGACTATGGGAACAGGGGTTTATGGGGGGTTTTGTGGGATAAAAATTGGTTTTCCCATTTTTTACCCTTAAACACAAAATTTCACAATTTCCTTTGAAACCATTTTGTAGAGCTTAAAAAAATAAATAATTTTGTATACTGGAACGTTGTTGTATGCATAACGGTTACGGAGATATTTAAAAAAAATTTAAATTTAAAATGCCAATGTTATTCTTATGGAGAATAAATAAACTGTTGTAGTTTGCTTGTTTATGGATATATTTTAATCAAATTTTGCAATTTTATTTATTTCATACTAAGCTATCAATATTTTAATAAAAAAACACACCTCAACACATTCCCTGTAGCAGAAACCTAAGTACTCATTAAAATAATTGTTATTTAAATGGGAAATAATTTTGACAATTTTAAGGGAATATTTTACTAGAATTCCAGTCAGGTAAATGGAAATTCGCTTAGTCTGCAGGTTTGCTGCGGTGGGGGTATTATAGGCATTTGGTAACATCCGCCACCCAACCGTGGAACTGTTTTGTGACCTCGGCAATATATTGCAGTGGGGAGGCGCACACGACGCAACTGGTTGTATGCAATTTCAAAAAACGATTGAAACCAGTCACATACATTCGTAGGCCCGACGTAGCAGACTTCAGTTGCATGAGACCACGGGGTGTTTTTGTGGTATTTAGTGGTATTTTGGTGGTATTTTTACGGCCGTTTAGTGTTTATAATTTCCTATTCGACTAGCTCTAGCTGCTACAAACAGCCTAGTACTAACATTCTTGCTCAAATAAGGGTGAACCCAATGCTCTCTCAGTACCCTTCGCTGCCTTCGGTATTGATAATAGCTAATAACGTCTTCTTCGTCTGAGTCTGACATAGTAAGTGCACTTAAGGCCTTAAAACAACGTAACTGCACTAAATTGACACTCCCGCTGATTGCACAATAGACGCAACTGTAGTTGTAAAACAGTCACACCGTGTGCGGACAGAAAATTTGTTTCAGTTGCAAACTGGTTTCAGACGCAACTGGTTTGCAACAGTTGTTGTAAAACAGTCACACCGTGTGCGCTGGGCCTTAGTAGGGTACTAAATAAGTACTAAATTTAACCTGCAAGATAAACAAATTAAATCTATAATGCCTTGTAATAATGCACTCTTGGGTATTTACATTAAGCACTTTAAGCACTATTGTACAAAAGCAATGCTTATTGAGTACAAAATACAACTAAATCTAGCAAATTAACTCTGAAAAACAGCTGTAAAAGATAGGCCTAAAAAACATTAAGTGTTGCCAAAATTTTGTCACATGTTGCATAAGTTTAAAAGTGAAGAAAGTCACTACTGTGAAATCTCAATAACAGGCAAAATAATTATTTTTTATGTAAGTTAATGTATAATAATTATGTAAAGCACAGCAATTTGTTTTTATACTCATCAATTACCGTAAGGACCACAGAACACAGAACTGGACTGGATACCGTAACTGACAAAAAGCAGGAAAAAGAATTAAATTCCAGCAGCGTAGAAACGTTTGCCGATGACGATGACTCATAAGTATGGGATAATCGAGTGTGTTGATATAATATCATGTTAGATTATTGAGTATCAAACTGTAGCAGTTTTATCATACAAAGACAAGCAATTTAACCATTAGAACTATTTTAGTTGTCAATTTACTTTAGAAATTTATTTTAAGTGAGGATTTAATTCAAAGGAGGGCTGGAAGTCATATAAACATTGTTTAGGTGGGACGAATCACCAGCATCTGTGAAATATGAAGAAAAACTGTACACCGTAACATTTTCTAAGAAAATTAATCAGTATTGGTTGTGACAGATTTAATGATCAGAGACAGTTTTGAAATAAGTATCACGCCTAAGAATTTAAAAATTTTAAATGACAGTTAGGCCTACATTCATATGATTAGATTATATATAGAGACTTTTATATTTACTTACAATTCAGCAGTTTAAAATTTAAAATAAGTGATATATTCTGATACATTTAAACTGAACAAACACCGCAACATCATGAGTAGGCATTACAATCTTCCTTATCAGATTAAATGAGCTAGACAGAAACTAAATATAACTTTTGTTTATAATCTTAAAACACAATGATTATATCAGTCAGATGTTTGTTTTTTCTTACTTGATATGTTTATCAAGTACACTTATTACTAAGATTATTTATCAATTTAATATCATACTGCGTTGTATTTTTATTCTTATTATATTCTGTTGGACTTTATGAATGAATGAATGAATTATATCTTTATTCCAACAAATTATTTACAGAATTTGTGCACAAATCCTATTTAAAGGAGAAAAACATAAGTGAATTTAAAAGAATAACATAAAATTAACCTTTGCATTACATCTATGTTTACCAAGCGTACATGTTTATAAGGAATAAGCCGACATGGGCAGCGAGCCTGTGCGTCGACTGTAGTTGCGTCCAAACATAACATTAATTATCAAAAACAAAATCTAAATAAATAAATAGAAGATATGATGAGGTGAAAATATGATCTAAATGGAGTTACAAGAGCAAACCATGTGAAAAAATATTAATGAAATGGCATAATTAAGTTGAAATAAAAAATAATATAACTGTAATAGTGACAGAGATACTACGGTTTTCAAAGTGTGTCTAGAGGGGGGTGGGGCGGGCGGTGGAGAACGAGTCGTCAGAGTATAATGGTCAGGTCGCATGTCGTGTTAAGGAGCGTCTATGTCTGTAATCAGCTGTGATGATAAGCTCAGCCTCGTCCCTGCCTAGTCCAAGTAACCACTCATTGACACGGCGTTTGAATATAGTGGGGGAGTCAAAGAGATTAACGCTTTAAAAATTGTTTTGTAAGTTACGAAATAGAACGTGTTCAATATAAAATGAGTTGGTCGATGAAAAGGATTTGTATAGTTGTAGTGATGAAATTCCAATTCGGGTAGAATATCTAGTATTATGTGTATGGGAAACTATGGAGAAAATGTTGTTATAATTTTTAAAAATATGACTTAGAACATTTTTATGAAAAGTTGTCTGATCGTTAAAACTGACACATCCTTAAAGAGAGTGTCAGATGGGTAACGCCTGCACTTCCAAAAACTAATTTTTAATATAAACTTTTGTGTTATGTTTAATAGCTCTAAAATACTTTTAGAACAACCCCCCCAGCTTATGATTCCGAAGGATAAAAGTGATTGAACAAAAGCGTAGTACTGTACATTAATTTCATTTCACTTTCATTTAGAATCTGATTCAGCTGACCGATAGCATAGATATATTTTCTAATTTTGCTGTTCAAATATTGAATATGACTAGACCACTTAAGACAGTAATCAAAGACCACTCCTAAATATTTGAATGACTCTACTTTTTCAATAGATTCGCATGTACAGTTGGCGTCGAGGTAATCACCACAGGTGTGAATAACAAGGTTTTCCAAATTGTAATCAGATTTTAAACTTGAAGAAATTGGCATAAACTTAGTTTTTGATGAATTTAAAGAGAGTATATGCTGGTTTAACCATAACTTGGTTTCCATTAGGTCGTGCAAAGCTTTGTTGCGGGCCTCAGACCAAGTTTTTCCGCTGTTCAAAATTAAAGTGTCATCAGCAAATAAGAAAAGTTTACCAAAAATATTAAGTTTTAAAATATTATTTATATATATTAAAAATAAAACAGGCCCAAGTGTACTGCCTTGAACCACACCATAGTTAACATATTCAATATTACTGTTAGTGTTAGGCTATGTATTGATACAAGTTGAATTTTTTGAGACAGATAACTTTTAAACCATTGAAGTGCGTTACCCCTTACGCCAACTGCTTCTAATTTGGAAAAAAGCTTAGATCGATCAACTGAATCAAATGCCTTTTTAAGATCTAAAAATATTAATATTGGGTGTTCATTATCTAAAATTGCCGAATTTAAGACCATAAAAAATTTATTGTCGAAATTTTGTGCCGAATTTAATGTCAAAAAGTGCATCTGAAATGTTTTTTCACAATATATGCTTTGCATATATTTTTGCTTATGCTTATTTATTGCATATATATATTCATTCTTGACGCCCAATTGTAAATGGAGTATCGGACAAAAAGTAAATTAAATTAAAAGAGGAGGCGAACAGATCTTGACGGATGATTGGTCAAAATCAACGATGTTTGGTTAGCGTATCCTAAAGCATGTACGCTAATATAAAAAGAAACAGAAGTCAAGTAAAAGAATTGACTATTAATATATTGAGCTAAGATCCCACACCATAAGGAGTGGTGAAGGCCGACGAGCGCCCAAACAGTTGCAGTGAAGCAGAGTGAGTCGCGCAGCTTGGAGGGAAGCAGGACAGAGAGAGAATGTGCGAGTGAGAGCAATGCAAGGCGGGCCGCGGGGTGATGAGCGCATGTGCGACATAGAGCGCAGATAAGAAAAGACCTACTCTTGCGCTCTGACCGGCAGCTCACATCAACTACTTACTAGAGATCCTGGTTTACACTACAACTGGCCCATTTGGATGGAATATCTTCTCAATTTAAGTAGTCAATAGGTAGTAAAATTCAAAATAGGCTAGGGTATATCATACCGAGTGGTGAGCCATTTTTTTCTCAGTGTTTAGTAAGTGAGATTGACATCCTCTTGTAACCTTGAATTTGCTGTTAAAATGCGCCTCGGTTTGAGTGTGGAACATATCAAGCAAAGCAAGAGGTGAGCCGGTACAGTACAAGAATGAACTGTAGGCCTACTAATAAGTTGTAAGTGACGGCACCAAAACGAGAACCCATTACATCGCTGCCTAGGTTTCACAGTCATACGACCAAGTGTGTCATTGGATACTGAATCACCAGTGCCCCATGCAGCCAATGTTTATGTGAGTCAGAAATACTGAATGGAAGAAGCCAAGAACCGACAAAATAATAGAACCTATATTACGCAACTAGCCCTGAAAACAGGTGTTTACCTAACCAGCCCTTAAATCACTTAAATCTTCTTATAATGGACCACGTATATCACTACTTTTGATTTTTAACACTAAAACAATGATAAACGTAATAAAACACATCAGTCATCGGTGCGAGGTTAACCAAGCTGTTTACAAATACGCACGTCAGCTGTCTGCTACAATATTTTCGGAACTAAAATGAAAAGCGTAGGTATAGAAACAGACATCAGGAGAAAGCTCTGAATCTGCTGAAAAAAACTATACCTAACTCGATCCAGTTCAATCCGATTCAGTCAGTCCCAGAGCTGTCGCCGTAATCAGTGTTTGTGAGTCGCAAAAGCGACACATAACACTACAGTGGATGTGTTATGAGTCGCTTTTACGACACATAACACTCGGAGGGTTAAAAATATCAATTATTAATCAATATTTTCAATTCGATAGTTTCAATCGATATTAGCATAGCCCAGTTAGAAACTGAACCCCTTTAAAACAGCTTACCGTTGGATGGTGACAAACCATGGGTGTTAAACCTTCCCTCCTAAAGCATCATACACTCCCTAAGTTGCTAAACCAGATATAAACTCAATAAATAAATAGGGCCTAGTAACTTATACAATTTGCTATTAAGTTAAAGGATCAATGATGATTTGAAAGCAAGAAAGTTAATGTGATAGGCAAAAGGGGGAGAGCATTGGTTATAGCCTAGTTTGCCACATACCAGCAACCACATACCACTTACCAGTAGTACTTATTTGATTGGTAATTAAAGTAATCCTAACTCTATGGATAAATATTATTTTATAATTTTCCTTCATGTTTTAACTTACTGTTTTAAGTCAGACAAAAAGGCCTAGGCTACTAAATGGCCAGTTTCTCTTTCCTTCAATATGAATGTGACCAGTTGGCCAACCTAAAACTAGTTAGCAACAAATACATTTCAAAAGAATACTTCTAAATAAAACTAAGTGGAAGTAATAATATTTTCTACATTTTCAATTGAATATCACATTTCACTTTAGTACCAAATTTGAGGTTATAGTAAACACTATCCCGGACGGATACCATTACAAAACAATTTAACAATCACAAACAAATTCACAATCAATCCAGTTCCGCCCGTTCCGCCTTTCCTAACTTTCTTGATTCCAGTACAACTCAGCCACAGCCAATTAGATCTGAAACGGAATCGTCCGGCGTCTCACGTTCCACATTGTGTTTCTAAATGTTTATAACCATAGATTAAGATATTCCCTTGCACGATTCGTTGTCAATGTATTTAATATAACAAAATATGATTCCAAGTTGAAACAATAATCCAATACCTAAGTATTGGAATTAATACAATACCTAGGTACGTCTAAAGTTAAAATAAACCTTCTTTATTTTTCTAGGCAAATTTAGCTTTTGATGCTGTATCTCACAACACCTTCACCTTTACCCGCAAGCTCTCCATGTACACAGTTTAGGAAGGTGGGGCAGTTCTAGACTCGCTAACAAGGATTTAAATTGGCTGCTTGTCGTTGGGAAAATAAATCAATAAATAAGCTGTTTGCACACCGGAGGCAGGTGGTGTACATTAGAGGAGCCTCTGCCACAGGGATAGGTCCCTCGTCCTATCCTATTTACCATAATGATTGATTAATTACCTCACTAGATGGTCGTACATTGTTATTTGTGGGTGATGCAACCCTTATCTTGAAAGACGAGGATTTTTAACACCTAGGACTACTAAAAACTGAAACCGACCACCTTTTGGAGCTGGTCAAAGATTGGTTAACCCTCCTCATAAATGCGGAAAAACTCAGTCCGTCTACTTATGTATCCTCAAGCCAGTAGTAGGGACGGAAGAAGCTTTTCAACTTCTTGACTTCTAGATGGCTTACAAATTAAACTGGAATAGTCTTCAGCCAGGTGTGTGGTGTGTGTGTGAAACTCTCTCGAGTAATTAATCTCCTCTGCAGCTCAAGCTTAATCACAGCCCCGTCTCTTGACAGTCCACCACGCTCCACAGCAAAGTGATGTACGGCCTGATCGTATGGATGGACACACTCCCCTACTGCCTAAGACATGCTGCTTCTCCAAAATAAGGCACTGAGAAATATAGCATATTCTATGCAACGTGAGTTTTGGAAATACCAGGCCCATTTTAAGAGAACTAAGGGTTCTCACAATCTACACCCAGTATTTTCTCAATGTAATGTTTTGAACCTTCTGAAAGAAGATCTGAACCTTTTTTGGACTTAAGAGTGAGCAACTCATAACTTACATTACTTTTAAATAGCTATCCAAATTTCAAACATCTTGCCTTTGTGTGTGCAAGCTGGACATGCCTAAGTTAAAGAGTGCACTTAAGGAGCATTGCATAAATATGACATTTGTATAGTCTGGAGGAAGCCTCAACTAGTTTTCCTCAAAGTACATCCTCCAAGTATTTTAATTATGGTAATCGTTCTGCGATAGTAATTGTAAATACATAAATGTTTGAGTGTAATATGAACTGGTTCATTAAATCTGTCTAGTTCAGTCAAAGAATAAGGGATGAAGTATTTAAGTAAGTATAAGTATCCACATATCATAATCTTTAACTCTCGATCTCGAGAAACCCAGGCACATCACAGTTGCAATTGCTCAGTCATTCTTTGGATACTGCAAGTAGGTTTCACCTCTTAAATTATCTGAAGCCCTGTTTTAAGGGAGGCTTGAGTACGCTGATTTTGACTTAATGTTTTGCTTGGTTGTTATTTTAGGGTAGATTTTACAGTTTTCATAGTTAACAAATAGTAAATAGTTAAATATTTAGTTAAGATAGGTTTCAAGTACCTACGTAAAATATTCAAATTTACAAACTGGATGCTAAATACAAAACTGCATGGGGTGGGGATACGGTTTGAAGTGGATGATTTGATTTCTTGAACTGGGATAACAGTGAGGTACTTTCATCATAAAGTACATCAAGTGCATGCGCCCATAACCTGAGAACAGCTTAAGGCAGTGTCTTAACACACGGATGTGTTTTACAGCCATGCCACTCAGTATCTCTATTCTGAAGTAAATACTGTTTAACGTAAAATTGTAATCTCATAATAAATTTGAGGTTTATAGTATCAAAGTTTCATAGTTCAAAGATGATTTAAGATGAACTATATTTGAGGTCTCATAAATTTGAGGTATGTACATCATCCTCCCCAAAAATGTTTCTGGCTATGGTGTTGTTAAGCGGTTGCTTTTCATCTTAGTATTACTCAATCATGATGAGCTCCTGACCCATTGTACCTCAACGTTACAGATTTTGAAATTCAGACAGTTGATAATGTAATAACTATTTACCTGGTAACTAAACTATTGTTACAAACCAGTAGTTTTATATAAGGCTATATCTACCTCAAACTGGTGACACGCCTTATTACTATTATTACATAACAATTATATTCTATAATCTCAATTTTTTTTCTTTTGGTGTCAAATTATGTATCATAAAACTAGTACAAGGGAAACAGACAGAAAATGAATATAATTCACTTTGAATAAATTGTAATTAGATCATATACAATGTAAGTATTTAGTACTGTAGATAACAATAACTCCCTCACATTCAAAAGCCAGCAGTATTCTCAAGCAGCTGCCTTTCAAACCTAACCTAACTGTAACTGTATACATGGACAAAATTACAAAACTGTACAATAGTAAACCATATCATGTACACTTTGTTACTTATTTTACACACCTAGAGGCAGCTGCTTACAACATAAACAAGTCTAAAAAAACGCTTAGGACAAATTGAAACACATCAGGCTGAACAGTGATTTGAAAATTTAGGCTTCTTACCGCTGAAAACATCAGAAAACTAACATCTTCAGAAAACAATAACAATGATAGAATTTGTATAAAAATTATAAAAATATAAATTAGAACACTTATTTAAACAAAATTAACAACATAAGCTTATGAAATGCAGTCAATTCTAGCATCAGATAGAAAAAAAAATCAAGACATGATGTCAACTTTACCAACACAAATAAAGGAGGCACAAAGTAAAAAATATGAAGTAAAATTAACTAAATAGATTCAAAGAGAGAAACATCAGACGTTTAAAAATAATAACCATTTTTAAACAGGGTGTTCCACAAAGGGTTTAGATGTTTGATTTTATATTACTTGGCCGTTAATGCACCAAAAGTTTTGAAACTTTATATAATTTATGAAATAGGTTTTAAAAATATTTGGTGAAAATTTCAGCTTACTAACATTTCTAAATCAAAGTGGTAGCATATTGTAAATATTACCGATTTGATTACTATAGAAATTAATTTCTGATAGTTATTACCTGGTATATTTACTGCACTGCATTTTTTACTCATTGTTGAACAGGTGTTTGACTTATGGCTTGAGCCATAAAAATAAAACTTAACCTTATCAAAGGCAGTTTTACTAATGTAACCAGAATCAATATCCCACAAACAACACTTTGGTTATAACTTAAGCAGCAATTTGTATAGGAATCAAATTGGTAAACATTAATATGCCACACTTTTGTTTCTAAAAATGTTAGTAAAGTGAAATCTTCACATTTATTTTCAAAACCTACAAGGTGAATTGTGTTAAGTTACAGAACTTTTGGTCCACAAACGGCCAAGTAATAGAAATTCCTAAAATGTAAACCTCTTTGTGGAACACACTTTATACTTGTTATCTTTTGAAGAACATATACAGTAGACTCCCTCCAATCTGGACACCTTTTAACCGGACTACACTCGGCAGATAAACATACATCTCTTTAACCGGACAATTTTTATCATCACATCGGTTAAACCGGACTAGATCGGCAGGAAGTGGGTTGTACTGAAAAAACTTTTCTCGTGGGAAAGATTTGAGACCAGTGATCATGTGTCTAAATAAAATGCTCTCCTAAATTTAAGGCAAATACTGTATACATTATGCATTTAATCGGTCCGTTTTAACGAGTTTTTTGGGACGTCGGTTTAACCGGAAAAAACGTTATCCGGACTGGTCTAGGTTCCGAGGAGTCTGGATAAGAGGGAGTCTAATGCAGATGAACTGATTGGTAGACCAATGACAATCCTGGTATTTTTAAAAGAATGTTGGCAGAAGCTAATATAAAATTGCAATTCTTTACACAAGCACAAAGGTAGTCTGGCTAAAACCATTATCAGACTTCCCTTCACACTACGTCCATGCTGTGTAGTTGTTTATGTTATTTGATATTTATCACTAAGTTAACTATTTTGAGGGTATCAAGATTGATGTTATGTCTGTGAATCGCCAGAATTGACTGCATTAAACAATCATAAGTTTGAGCAATTCCTCTTATACCTAAACCACATAAATAAAACGATTCAAATTTAGAATAATTATAACCTACTATATTAACTACAATCAAAAATTTTACATTTATAAAACATTGAAATAATTTGTGCAAACAATTGTCTGTAGAACTTATCAAAAACAAATTTTAACAAATAATTAACTAACATGTAGAAAAATTGTGCTTAAAATCTGGTTTGTATATGGGTCTTTATTACATTCATGTACTTTTGGCACCTCATTATCCCAATTACCAAATTTCACCAAAATGCAAACTAACTTGAAACATTGACTATTGGAAAAGAAACAGTGAAAATAATGTTATCAAAACAACAGACTTGGGATGGGTATTGTGTATAAAATATAGTAAATTAAATTAAAAAAATAACAAGAACTAAAGTTTAAGTTAGCATGTTGATTGGTTTTTGAGGCATCCAAACTTTGATTGAAAGGAGGTTGTTGATGCTAATGCTAACTTTAAGTATCAATGATTCTCCTAAAACAAGTTTAATTTAGCATTTAAAGAGTAAAAGGTTAATTAATTAAAACCATATATAGTTCCTCCTGGCTATTTGTCCCATATGTTGAACCACATAGGTCAATTGGAAAATTGAGGTTGATAAACGAACACACATTAACTAGGCTGAATTCCCATAACATGCAATCGTGCAGAATCATAAGTAAAAACATTTTAAAAGCATTAAAAAACTAATCACCAGCTTTTCTGGATTTCCTGTCTTTGAGAAGCCCGTATAGGTTAAGGCCTGAGGAACTACTTTTTCCGAGCCCTTAAAGTGACTATTTGACCGCTTAAAGTAAATCACACTTTCCATTTACTCGCTATAACTTAATTAAACTCTTAAATTTAAGATACTCGGATTATTCTAAAAGAATATAACTTTATCTTACCTATGAGTTATTCGTATACACATTTATAATCGTACAATCACAGTAATACTGTACACACAAATAGCATGGGCAGAAACCAACATTTTGTAAAGTAACAGGGAAAATATTGAGGCAGACTAGAGTGAAGACACAAGCTATTCCATAAATAGACTTACTCTTAATCTATTTCGTATACAAGTTCGGTATACTACGTTACTTATAATAATACGTATATGGTTTAATCTACAAATCGCAATGCAACATTATTACTCAAAACTGGTTTTATTTTGGTTAAAACCAAACCTTTGCAAACTCATCTTAAATCAGTACATCACTTACAATTTTTTGCAAATACAAAAAGTTTTTTAGGAGTATAAATTCACACCACAAAGACAACATCACGTTACAAAACAAATGTTTTAGCAGATTGTAGCATAAAAGGGCTTGTATTTAAGTTTATATCTATAAGAGAGTCGTTTAAGCGAAATTGTTGGAGATATTATTAAAAAGTTTGACAAAGTATTGATTTTATTAAAATTTTAGGATCGCAATATAAGAATATATCTCCGTCAGAATAAAATAAAAAAAGATACCTACAAACTCTATCCACTTTGAATATAATGCTACACTGCGCATTTTTAAAACATGGCACTAGATTTCAAGTGCTAGCATCGTATAAGCAACATACATATGGAAGACACACTTATTGGTTTTAAAATTGGTCTTCCTCAGAAACAAAGTTAATTAATGAACTAGACGTAATTACTAGATAATACGGTTACGAGGAAATACCTAAAACTAAATTATCGGACTATCGTAAAAATCTAAAAAACAACATAATAGACACTTAAAAGTAAAAATTTCCAAACTAATTGTGCAACAGCTTTAATGAAGCTACGATCTAAAATCATACAAGTGTGTTGATATTCAAATGAAAATATTGGACACACAATAACAAATGCACGAGAACGATTTAGGTTACAAAGCACCTGGTAACCTGGACTGTTATCACATGACCGATTAATTCTACAATAAGAAAGTTAAAAGGAAGGGAAATTTCACTCGTGTTTCTATCCGAATCGAAAATGGCAAACATATTGCGTTCAAGCTTATTCTAAGATTATGAACTAAACTAAGAAGAGACGGCGCACGTCTCCTGAGCAAGTATCGAGTCCCGTCGGAGTGTTATTGCTCCGACAATTCTTCTTCACTATGAGGTTTGCCGATGTCACTGGTATCGTCACCACTTCCGCTGCTTTCTGATTCATCACCGCTCAGCAAGCTTGAATCTAAAACATATGAATCTTCATCAACAACGTTGATTTGTTATTTGTATTTATCTTTGTAACAAATCTTGTTACACTGGAAAACTTTTTTTTGAAACTTATTTAAAGTTGGTAAAAATCCAAGACTCTAGACAGCAAGACAACATGAACACAAACAAAATTGCATTACAGAGGTCAGACCAAAAGTCTACACGACTAAAGGTCCTGCTTTATCGGAGCTTGATTTAGTTTTTCCCGAAAGCAGACCAAACACATTATGAATTTTATGTTTTTGTGCAAATATTTGCCTTATCAGGAATGTGTTTGTTGACAAGTTAGGGATATAACGATTATAGGTTATTGTGTACTAAACGGTTTTATGTTATCAACCAAAAACCAGTCATACAAAAGTAAAACTTCACTAAGAGAAAAAAAAAACTACATATTGATTGAACATACTTTCACAGAGCACTTTCATTACTTTATCACTTTCAATTACTTTTTATAAACTCGCGTAAGTACTACTTATCGTAATTATTTAAATAATTTAATTTACCTTCAGTAATGTCAGCAGAGTTTACTTTTGGAATATTGGCTGGCCAAAAGCATTGACTCCCGTTATTTCCGGACTTTGTTTTTGAACTGCTGGATTTGGTTCCCGTTGACCCTCCGGTTGATCCTGAAATTTGAAAATCCAAATTGTAGAACCTCCATGACAATGATAAACAACTAAAACCTATATTTATACAAGAGCATTGTGATTTAAAAATACATTTTTGTCTTTTTTTACCTACTCGCCAAATCACTTTGCAGTAAACAAATAAGTAACAAGTCATTTGCAGTGAAATAATGGCGCATTGAAATTGGAATGAGCTATTTAGATTTGGGAGTTTTGAATTCATGATCCACTTGGAGTAAGTTTACATTATTATAACTCTCTCTATTGAATTTGGTTAACTCTTAATGAAAATATAAAATAAATTAACCTAAGAAAAGCATGTATATAGTGTCAAGATGATCATTTTGATTTACGCTGACAAATTAAACAAATGATATTTATGATGGTTGTAAAATAATGAAAACACATGTTAAAAGTGAATGTTTAAGTTTAATTAAAAGTGTTTTAGCGAAACAAACGAAAATAGTCACATTGCACCCTGCAGGATTTTACAAGATGCAAGAGATCTAACCTGTCACATCTGAAGGGGTCGAAGCATCTAGCATAGGCTGCAGGATTCTTCGCCGCGCGTTAATAAACCAATTGTTTACTTGTAATAAAGTTAAGTTTGTCTGGGCAGCTATCTCTCGCTTTTCGTCCTCTTTTGGGTATGGGTTCTGTTTAACAAAACAAAACAAACTACTAATAAATCATAAAAACAACTATTAACATTGGTTTTACAACCAAACAGAATTAATCCCTGCACATATAGGACTTCAGAGAGCATTCAGAATATATTTATATAAGTGAGGGTAGGATTAAATATTCCATTCAACTTCGTCGTGCTGCCCTAAGTCTGTTTTGATAATTTATACTAACTAATCGACAAAAATTAGGCGAGAAATTATTAGTCAAAAAAAATTACTCACTCATTAATATGCTAGGCAATAAAAATAAAATCACAGGCTCAATATTACTTAAAAGTAACACATTTTTTAGCCTATTTTGGTAACCTAAAAGAAGTATGCTTTTGGATTCACGAAGCTATAATTTATCTAGCCTATAGCAATTTGCACAAACGCTGACTGTAGGCCTACATGCAAATAGTGTTTATTTGCCTTAATGCAACAGTCAATCTTTGAAAGAATAACTAAACCTTTCAAAATTCTGCAGAGTGCAAAAATTATTACTGAGCTAAATTATAATACTTTATTTTATAACTGAAAATTATAAAAACATATGGAAAACTAAACTAAGATGGTAAATGCTGATAGTGAGGCTAACTGATAAATAAAAGCCAAAAATAAAAGTAATAACATAGACGCCACTTAAAAAAGATTAGCTAATATGATATATTGAACATGATAAGCTAGAGAGTAACTTGGTCCTGGGAAGTGTTTCAGATTCATTATGTACATTACGTGTTACAATACATGTTAATTACTTATTTACAATTTAGTAAAATTGCAGTTTTTAAAAGTATATAGTATTAAATGGCAAAGCCTACTTCTTTACTATATCTTCAGGGGTCTTTGATAAAGTGTATCATTAATTTCCGTTAGTTAATACAAAAATGAAATGAATATGACCTTAAGATTTAATCTAGCAGTGACTACAGTTGAAATTCATCAACAAAAAATATGTAGTTGATGGATTTTATTTTGTGCAGATTTGAAAATTAATAACAATGGGTTTGCATGGAATATGTAAACATAAGAGGCTTTTCATTTTTACTTCTTAAACTAAAGGATAGACTTACAACCAAATGCTGAAAAAGCCAGGAACGCATAATACTGGTTGCTTGCTTTGGAAGAACTCCTCTTTTTTGTTTTTTCCTGCTCCCAAACAAATCATCGTCTTCATCTCCTGAACCACCACTTGTAGCAGATAAGGAACCTTGAACACAAATCAACTCAAAAAATCACAAAAATAACAGCTGGTATAAATATTGTTTATCAATCAATACCAAAATAAAGATTGCAGCCAACAACATTCATTAAACTTAACTTTTCTAGAGCTTTAATCAAATGTTTTAAATACCTGAATTCTGTCATAGGAGAAAGAAAAAATTAGAATTACTTCAATAATAAAATACTTGAAAAAATATCTTTAAACAAACTTAGAAACTGGGAAGCAACTGTAAAAGTAGGAGAAAGGTAAGCCTACATCTAAGTACAGTCAGGGCTGAACAGCCACTTATCTAAATAAAAAAAAAAAATATTTAGTAGGCCTACACTAATAACTTTGGCAAAACTGTATATTTTGTCCTAAATACAGAGCGACATATACAAATGGGAGTTTATTAAATTCATATTGGCAGCTATGTGTGGTTGACAACACTGTGAGAAAGGATTTTACACAATAATGTCCGACTATTGTGTTAATTTGTTTTTTTGGTACAACAGCATGGGTTAAGTGTTAGGGATTTTGAGGTTGGTAAAAATGTTTTGTGATCATTGGAGTTGGATTATTGCAACATAGCTGTATTTTTTTAGAACTATATTGATTCATTAGACAAAGACAAGGATAAAAACAAATATTCATTAGGTAAATGTAAGGATTCACGGGTGAATCAAGTTAGTTGGTGGGTAGCTTAACTTAAGGGGTTTAAATCACCTTCCTTAAAAATGGATTAAGTGCTTCATATCTTCTGGCTTGGATACTAACCAAGAAACCCATCCCCCCTGAGGACGGGATAAGATCCCAAATCCTGAAATACAGGGTGTCTACCAGATCACACTAAATTTCAGGGACTTTAGAGCGGTGGGAATGACGGAAATGACTTTAACGCAAGACCTTTGGTACCGATAAGACAATATTTTCCATTGACTTGAACATGAGATAGTAGGGCATACAATAGTCTGTGCCATCCCGTAACGATTTGAGCCAGTTGCCTGCTCCAAAAATATGTTCACTCTCACTGATTCTTATTGTGACTTTAATCATTGTTTGCAGCAAGGTGCAAAACAAACTAGAAGTATTGTGAAAACTTCTTTTTACTAATCGTGTCAGAAAATGTTTGCAATGATCTTTAAAATAACATATATCCATCATAAAATTTAAGTGTAACGTATAAGGAGGATTTAAAAGATAACTTTTAAAATAAAGCAGAATTTCAATCAAAATTCCTAAGTAAGGACAGGTTTAACTAACCTTGGTGAAGACTGAGGTCTGATGCGGGGGGGAGGCAGTTAGCCCCGATTTGTGAGAGGGGGGTGCTGCCATGTATGATGTGTTGAGGAGAATGGTTGGGGGACGGTGGAGAGGTGGCGGTGGGGTAGTGGGGGCTCGGGTCCAGCATGGGTCCACTCTTCACAAAACCTCCCTCACACCCTCCAAACGAGCCTGTAGGGGACACCACCTGTTTTAAAAAACAACTCCCACTCATACTGATAGTCTTGGTGTGTCAGTACTTATCAGTATAGGAGCAGGTGTTAGTTTTAAGTCTAAGGCATGCATTCTAGCAGGGGTGCAGAATATGTCCCATCCGAGAATCCTAGTTCGGTTACTTTACAACAACTGGGCACCCAGATTAACTGACAACAGCAGGGGTGCCTCACCAAAACAAAGTTCAATAAATTTTGAAAAAAATATAAACTCTCGTTTTTGTTTTGAAGAGTTAGTTTCCAAAATGTAAATCAACGACTATTATTACTATATGTTCACAAACTCATAGAACATCAACAGAAACTATCTTTCATAAAGAAAAGACGTTTCTTTTTAGAATTGTATTTTCTGTAAAGCCATTTTTCATAAAATAATTTATATTTGATTTGATATGACTTAAGATATCTACAGATCAAATACATTCATCATAATGGATAGCACAATACAGATGTATCGTTGATTACAGAGAAATTTGTGGGGTGTGATCACTTTTTGCACCCCTGCTAAGGGTAAAAAAGAAATAAAAAGCAATTTTGTTTTTTATAACAGAATAAAAAAAGTTACCACCCTGTAAAATTTTTTTAAAGGTTTTTAGAATAATTGTTTATTGAATTCTCAACTATATAAGCTATATTTAATAGTCTCAAAACTAAATAATTGTTATCAAACATATTTTAACTTCATTGTACAACATTTTCCAATTTAAAATCTGTACAACACTCTAAGTTGTTTACTAATCAGTAACGTTTGTACCAGTTATTCTAAGCAAACGTAAAGGTTTTTTTATGCTTCATGAACTTATCAATATCATTACTGAATTAACTTTTATTTACTATTGAAAGAGTATAAGATTGATATCCAAAAACATTGTAGGTCATACCAATTAAAGAAAAGATTGTCGATACAGAAAGATACACTAGTAGGCATTCAAATAATAGTTTAACTTGACTTTCACTTACACAAAACACTTTTTAAATAAATTCAACAACTGAATCAGAAATTATGAACTTTTAAAAGTTACAACAAACCCATCACATTCCTCGCTAGGAATTACTTAATATTTAAATTTAACTTTCTGGTATTTGGTTGACAGCCAGCCAAATGAAACTGTTCACCTACTATTGTTCGCCTCTGTAAATTCCTTGTTTATGCAAATGAGCTTAAATAACAGATCGGGACAAACCTGCAAGCTATGAGGGCTGAAGACAGTAGGGGAGTTAGAGTTGCTAGAATGGCTGTTGTTATTGTTCTCAACAAAGCCTGTAGAATAATCAGACCTCAGCAAATTTTCACTCTGCATTTTGCCCTTGAGACAGGTAATATAGCGATTGCAGAAGTCTTTGCATAATTCTTGCACCTTTTCTAGTTCTAATAGATGAATTCGAAGTACTTGAATCGCCTTAATCATCTGGTAACAAAAAAAATCAAAGGCTTAACTACTTTATATGGTATAAACTACAAACACATCATGTATTACCTTAAATGATTTGTACCTGTAGTTATGTTTGTAAAATAACCTGTCCCGTTCGGGAATTTATAGCAATAGCAGACATATTGATCAAATAGAAAGTCAAAAGGTATCAGACCAGAAATTCGCCAAACCATAGACAAGATGTTCAAATGTTGCTAAACACAAGTTTTATTAATTATTTTAAAACTAAATTGTTAATTTACACAAAGGAAAAAATTGCTTGAATTTTGTTAGTTCCATAATTTTTTTAGTTCCATAATGACAAAACTAATTAAAAATGATATGCATGCATGCACCATTACATCTGTCTTACACTATTAAACGCAAAATAAATTATTGCTATATTGTGTATAGAGCATGGTTCATTGAATTGATTATGAACTCCATAAAACTAGTATAAAATATATTAAAGGGTTTTAATGCACTGCTTACTGTTAATTAATAAACCACAAGATAAAATCTAATCAATAGGTAGGATATCTTATAATGATATATTGCTCTATTCTTTGTAAACAATTTACATGTTACAGAATAAAGAAGTTTTGAATTGAATTGATTTGCAAAAAACCATGATTATGATCGTAAAATTAATTAACTGATAATAAGTTTCTAAAGGTAAAAATATTTTCATCAAAGCAAAAGGTCTACCAAGTTGACATAAATATATAGTTGAGACTAATGTATTTAGTCGTCACATAGTACAACTTAATATTTAAAACCTAAAAAAGATTTAATTTACCCAAATAATGAATGCAAGATGGTCGGAATTTTTTTAAAGACAGTTTTATAAAAATGTGTAACAAACAAACATTTTAAAATCCTCAGTTCCAAAGTTCTGTAATGAAAGTTTACCTTTTATAGTAATATGTACTTGGGTTTCTCTAAAAAAGATGGTTGGGTGGTTTAATTAATAAAAAAAGTGAATAAAATGATAAATGTTTTTAAAGCAGCTTGTCTAAAAACTATAATCACAGATTGTTACCTAAAAACACAAACGATCAATGTTAAATCTGAGTTCAGAAAAACCTATTTGTTTATAATACTTCATATTTTGTAAATAGATAACCTAACAATTGTGTTCCATAGACACTACAGACTCTTACCTCACCTTGCTATGTTTCATGACATTCTTTACAACCTTATTTTATGAGGCAAAACAAATATAACTAGGCCTAGTGAAAATTTTGTGAATATTTACCAAGCCATCAACTTCCGAATCATTTATCAAGAAAGGCTTGCAATCCCTCTCTTGATGTTGAACGAATGCCTGAATGTCCATGTTAAAACTTTCAGAGTTTGGGGTCTCCGCAGACTGAGTAGCTTGTTCACATCTCTCAAACAATAGCGCCAACAACGGGAACAATGGATGTCTGAAAAATTAAAATATAAATTGAATTTGCCAATGCTTTTAAACGTGTCTAAGGTAGGACTTGATCATTGCTTTCTGATAACGTTAACAAGAAGTTGATATGAGTTGCAAGTTTCATATGTTAAGGCAATACAACGTTACATAACTTAATGTTGGCAATAATGGTGTTATTGCACAATGTTATGTAAAGTTATAACATGATTTTTTAAAAGAAAATACGACAAAATGTTCAATTTAGAGAATAGTCTTAAATTGTGAAGTTTACACAATCTAAAAACTGTAATGAAGCAATTCATACACTGTTGAATTAAACCAACTAAAACTCTGTCTGATATTTCAAAATATGTTACTGTGCCTAAATTAAACCTGTGTTGCTTTGGATTTCAAATTGTAGATAGGAGTAAATGAACATGTCTAACAGGAATAGCAAGGATATTAGATGTCAGCACCAATTCAAGATTAAAAAGTGAATGGGTTAAAAATGAAATGTGACTAAGGTCAGAAGATGTGAAACATTTAAATTAAATTGATGTTTAAATCTCAAAATTCAATACCATGCTTCAAACTAAACTTTGGAATACCTTTGTGAAATATTATCATCAAAACTTACTTGTAAACCGCCCTCTTATCAGCTTCAAACACTGCTTGGTCGGGCGGAGCGCTGTTTGCCGGTTGGCCGCTAGAGTTGAGGTTTTCTGGGTAGGAAACCATTGCGACACCAGGATTCTGTTGCATCTCAGCCCATCTGATATTGAACAAAAACCTGTTAATTAAAATAGGCTCTCACATTTTGAGATGGAAACACAGCCAAGGTAAATTTTGATCACATTAAGGAAGTAGGCCCTATGTGTGCGGGATGTTTGATAATTATATTATAAGTTAGTTAATGAGCAAGATCAGCTGTTATATCGTATGCAAGACTGATAAAAGGCCAAATGATCAATAACAGCTATGTACACATCATTAGTATTACTGTAGCCTATATATTATACAGCACTCCACAATTGCAGAAATAACTTAGTTAACGCCAACCATAAAATCAATAGTTGCCAAACAATTTACAGATTTCACACAAATATGCAATAAAGGTCCCCTTAACGTTTTGGAGAACTTCGCAATTTATAAAGCCACTAAAAGATTCCCTCATGACGTCCTCAACGTACAACTGAAATCTTGCCCAAATATTCTATTAATATTCATTGGATATTGTCAACATCCAATGCTAACAATTATCAACTGACTTACTCCCACCCCCAAGGTCACCACTTCGACAACAACTAATTCCATCGTGTCCGCCGTGCAATCTGCGTCGGTTTGTCGACCTATTAATTGTGGCCGGCCTACCTAAATGTTTTGTTATGTTTTTATTGTTAAATTGTGAACTTTTAGTGTCAGCATGTGTTAATATATGAACAAAGACTTCCGTCGGATTCATTGACCAACCGATTTGATGTGGGTTTGAAAACAGGTCCTTGTATCCAAAACTAGTCACCCCAGACTTATTACAAGACTGAAGACGCACAAAAAGGAACACAACCTATCATATTATTGTAAATAGATTCCGGTATGTATAAATTTCAAACAATATTTTTGAAACCATGCAAAAATTTTCTAGGTTTTAATTGTTTACATTTTTCCACAATATATAAGTTAAAAAACATGTACATACAATGTGCATTACCCCGTCATGATGTGGTACAACATGTAAAATTGGTTGAAATAGGCCTACTATACTTATATTCACCTAGTTATTTTTGACAACATCTTTATAGAAACAATATTTAGTCAAAAACATCTACTGACTGTCCTCCCTAGACCTGAGTAGAGATAACTAAATTTAACATTACACAAAGCATTGAAAATATATTTTCAGAGATAGGTCCCCATCCTTCCTGTTTGCTACTGAGAAAGTTGTTTTTGGACCACTTTTATCAAGTGAATTTATAAGTAGTAGGCCTATCAATACTGCCAGATTGTCATTTTCAACTTGTAAAATGTTATTTTCATGGGGGATTTTTATGAGGTGTTTCATCAACATTTAGAAAATATTCAATTGCTAGTTTCCTTTACAAGTCTTGCTAAAACATTTAAACAATGCAATGAAGAGTCAAATAGCATCTCATTATAGTAAAAAAATACTATTTTAAAAAGCTAACAAGGAGTTCTAAAAAAATACTCATCAACATTAGACAGCGCAAGGATAGAGTCAGAAGAGTTTAGGAAAGATGGGGGACAAGGAAAGTTAGGGACAAATAGGGGTTCGACCGGGGGGGAGGGGGAGATTAGCTGAAAAAGGCTCTGGAACGACTCTTTTAAAACGAATCGTTCTCCTGTTTCAGTTCACAGATAGCTACAATAACGGGATTGACTTCAAAATCATAATTTAAATATTTCCAAACAGTAAACCTAAAAATGTTACAAGTCAGTCAAGTACCGGCACTGATTGATCCAGGCCAAATCACCTAGTTTTGCTAGCTTCTTTTTTACGCATTTTGGATAAGTTAAATATATATTACAGAAAATATAAAAGCATTCTATGCAATAATATTAATGAATATAATTTAATGACACATTGTTAAGATATGGTGACATAATTAAGCGTTACAAGTTAAAAATTCAAATATTTTTGTGATTATGTAGGCCTACGATAAACTTTATGAAATAAATTGTATTTTTGTTTGCACATTGCATCGGATTATGGTGTATTTGGTTACTTTTACGCCTGATGGACTCAAATTTTATAATCACCTAGTTTTGCTAGCTTATTTTTTACGCATTTTGGATAAGTTAAAAATATATTACAGAAAATATAAAAGCATTCTATGCAATAATATTACTGAATATAATTTAATGACACATTGTTAAGATATGGTGACGTTAAGCGTTAGAAGTTAAAAAATCAAATATTTTTGTGATTAGGTATGTAGCCTATTCAGGCTACATTTTTTCAAAAACCTGTACCGATAACGAATGTGTAAAATTTGTCACTAAATTAATTGTCCTGGAAGTGATTCCAAAACACATCACTGATTGTAAATAACTTATAACTTAAAGATTCAAGTGAAAATTTGTAGGAAGAACACATCTCTAAACCGATCGGCATTTATTTTCAGACGTAATATTATCTCGTCACATCATTGGTATTTGGCAAGTGACGTTTGCAGTAAAGAATTGAAGAAAACGTGTCCAATATCATACAAATCAGTGTAATAAAATAATGTAACTTCTTGATCAGCATTGTACGTGTTATTAAATTTACGGAAAGTAAATAAAGATACGTCTTATAACACTTAAAACATATATTTACGCTTATACTGTTACTCACAAGATGGTAAATATACAAAAGATGGTAAGTGGTGATCAATTTCGATTGGACACTCCAATCATCATCAGACCCAATAGGCGAATCCTATTGGGGAGTGTCCAATCGAAATCGATCACCACTTACCATCTTTTGTATATTTACCATCTTGTGAGTAACAGTATAAGCGTAAATATATGTTTTAAGTGTTATAAGACGTATCTTTATTTACTTTCCGTAAAATAATGTATCATACATATCAGTGTAATTTTGTATATAAATATTTCAATAGCCTAAGTATAAACTGACGACGAAAGAAATTAGGCATAAATTACCACCACTTTTAGGAATTCAGAAAAAATAGTTGTATCAACAGCTGAACCTTATTAGAGTTCCTCTTTTGCGATTGCCACGTAAATCCAAAACAATATTTAGGTTGGAAATTGGAGGTCAATCACACTCTCGCAACTACACAAAAGTGAACTGGCCCGAGTGACCCTACACTCCAATAACTGGCCTGTTTGAAAGGAAAATCTAAGAAATTGCAAATGAAGTCAATTCGGAGAAACGTGCGAGGGGATTAACGGGACAACGCTGTATTCTGTCTGTTCACTCATATTTCCTTTACCTTTCCAAGTACTGAATGTTTATAGGTTTGCTTAGATTAAACAATAGGTGGAATACTTTGTACCAGATGCCTACGACTACATTTTACAAGAGGTATTTCTTTAATCTTTCTCCGTAATAGCTAGTCACGAGTTGTTCCTGAATTATATTGTATTATTGTTCTAATACAAACAAGAGAAATTCGCCCGGATGTTCACGGTCGTATAACATAAATCGGAAGCTATAACATCCTCACGAAGTTGAAGCTATTGTTTTGGAAATATTCAAATGTACTGTATTTTGATTTAAAAAAATGTATGCTTGAATAATCATTTACAATTCGAGTTAACTTCGTGATTAATAAAATAACCCTACAAAAACACTTCAATGTACTAAATCTAATTGTTCCTAAGCTCTACAAAAGTAACCATTTAAACAAGGTGAAACATTTAAGGTGAGATACATAGATGTAAATACAACAAGTCGTAGTTACAACTAGACCTAGGTACAATAATAATCAAGAACGAGTAGATTTAAAGAGTCGTTCTCAGAACTTAGTCAGCCTCCGTTTGCCTCCCCCTCGGCTCACAACCCTAACTTATTTGTCCCCAAGTTTCCGTGTCCCTAAGTTTCCTCGTCCCCATCTTTCCATACACCGAGTCAGTAGGCCTACAGAGCAAGAAAGAATGGTAATTTTAACCCTCTGACAGACCCATTAAGGCTATATTACAAACAATGGACACACAAGATCAAATTGATACTTTTATATTTTTTCAAACTTAGGCTAACAAATTCAATCAATACCAAATTATATTTTTGTAAAAACCTTCAATCAGAATTGTCAGGTGATGGAAAGAGAGTACAGTATTATTATGATTAGGCCTACTTCGAGCGTATGGCCTTGGCTGGTGCGTCCTATGAATGTTTTGGCACACTTGTGTAATTGCTGACTGGGTAATTGAGTCAATTTTTAACATAGGCCTACCGGTAATTTTTTATAGTATTATTTTTTGTAAATAATTCTTGTGTAAATGATATTTTCTATTAATTTATATGTATGCAGGTTGTGTAAGAAAGGACCATGAGGCCCCAACTTTGCCTGTTGAAATAACAGAATTTTCATTTCATTAAATTTTAATACGGTAGATAAATTAATTGAATTGATTGAAAGTTCAGCAAAAGTTTCACTGAATGTGATACAACAAAGCAAGAAATAACTTACACTGTATACTTAAAAAAAATAATCTAAAGTTTACTAAGGCGGGACTCATGTTGCAAAAATACAGTAAAGCCCCGTTCACACGGGGCGAGTTTACAAGCTACACGCTGGCTTTTTTACACGCAGCTAGTAAAATAGCTCAGTGTGAACGACGTACTCGCTCAAAAGCTGCTTGTAAAAAAGCTCTGGAAAAAGTTGACGCTGCCGCTACTTTACACGCCAACTCGCCAGCTTTTGAGCGAGTAGGCGTGTAAAGTCGCCCAGTGTGAACACAGTTGCTTGTGCTTGTGCGCTTGTTACTCAAAGATGTTGGAGGATTTGGTTCAAGCCAGCTACTGAGCGAGTGGAAAAAGCATCGTGTGAATGACTACAAGCGCACTCGCTGACTCGCCGGCGTCTTTCTACACGTCTGCGAGTTGGCGAGTGAACAAGCTCCGTGTGAACGAATACAAGCACACTCGCCAACTCGCCGGCTTCTTACACGCTGGCGTGTAGCTTGTAAACTCGCCCCGTGTGAACGGGGCTTAACAATGTTTTATCACACAAGCTTTTTTTCACAAGCCTTGTTAGTTACAGTGTGAACAGAAATTTTTGGCTGAGTAGAAGAGAATCGCTTTATATTATATTTTACAATTACAAATTACAGTAGGCCTAGTGTAGTGATTTAGGTAATTGAGTTATACAGGGAGATTATTAGAAACAGAGGGCAAAGAAGATAGAAGGATTGGTCTAAAAGTGAACATTCGGCAACAGTGCAACGTTATCGAAGAATAAAGAAGAGGCCTGCAGAAAGATCATAGGCTACCAGTGAAAAATATGCTGTAGCACACACACAGAATCACAATCATCGAAAGCATTATTAAGATCGTGCTGTAAAAAATTTTCAATTTTACCACAATCATGTGAGACAATGTTAATGTCTCTGTGACCACAAAAGATGCTATTCACAATTTTTCTGCAACCGCAGAAGACGATACGTGTCTGGGACTGCACCTGTTCAGATGTTTTTTTTAATTCGCCACGACCGCTGGAGACGATATTTCGGAAAGCATCGTTGCATAACCTTGTATCCCCAAAGGCATCTGTTATTAGATTTGCTCTTCTTTTGGAGAAACTGGCGTTTTTACTTAGGCTAATCAATTATTTTTTATGTCAACTATTGGGCATACTGGTGGTTTGAAAACATACTATGACAAATCAAATTTTAGGAGCATTGCATAGATTTGACCACCGCAAAGCTGTGTAATAATTTCATTGTTAATAAAAGGAAAACTATTTCCGTGTAATTTAACTTTAAATGTTCTGGGTTATCTGACCTTGTCGCGGTCGGTTTAGGTAGGATAATTAAGACTCTATAAATTAATCCTATTAATTTATAGATTAATTTAGGCAAATTTAATTCATATTCATACAAGCCTATATAGTTTACGTCTCAAAAGTATTACAGTGAGTACTGTAATTTAAATACAGTAAGCTAACTTACTGTACTGTTGGGAGAAATCTTCGATTTTATCCATAACATTAGGGGACCTTAGAGCCAAAATGTACATGAGAATGGAGGTAGTTATTTATTTTACAGTAATACTTAAGTTAAATCATCACGGAGGAAAAGACCGGTTGTATACCAACCTCAGAACCAACCCCAATAATTTACAGAAAACTTAGGCCTAATTTACTCCTCATTAGAATAAGAAAATAATAAGTTTCTTGATAGATTGTGTTGTTGCTATTGTGCTATTGCTATTCAACTAAGAAATATATTGAAGCATATCTGCTACAATCTCGACTTTTGTGCAGCTTTCAACATTTACAGTAGTCCTAGAATAAGTTAACGTACTACAAAACCCTAGACCTAGTCCACTCGTGTACTATGACAAAGACCAGCTTACAGTACGTCTCACAGCCAATAGGCATGATATGTAGGTAGCATAGGTTGAGATAAATAGTCAACACTTTTGACAAATAAGTTTATGAAAACTCTGGAAAGTTAGCAAGGAGCGGCACTATCGACAATTCAAGATGAACCTAGTCCTAAAACATTATCCCAATCAGCTATTTAATCTTCAATTTGACTTACGTTAATTTATTGATACTCCTGGATGGCATCAAGGAGGATATTGTAAAAACAGGACATTTGCTTTAAACTCAGGAAATCACACAACTAAGTTATTCAATTTGTAAGGTCCTTTGTACTTGTCTAGGGTGCACTCAATTTGCAATGAAGCTTGTTTTCATCAATGAACTTTAAACCATAGGTACAAAAATGTGATTTATAGCAAGCCTAAATTTATACTACATAAATGTCAATCTAACACAAATCGCGGTAGCTAATTTTGACGTTCGCACAATTGTATGTTTTGAAAATACACCTGCTGACAGTTTTGAATGGCACGTTCCAAGTGTCAATCAAGAATCAATGGCGTCCGTCCAGTCTCCTCCCAGTCCCAGTTCTCTAGCATTTTCCTTGTGTTGTTCAACTCAGGGATAAAAATACATTTATAAATTTTTTTAGTTTTCCGATGTAAAATAAAAATATCTCTCGAAAAATAAATATAAACTATTTAAAACTACAATTAAAATAATTTTTCTCTTCCTAATCTTTTAAACACTTTTAAAAAATTAGGTAAATATGATATTTTTATTTATGCTTTCCTGGATCCCAGAAAACAACGAGAGGATGGCTGTCTGCTTTTATGATAGCCTATGCTTATTCGCCCCCACCCATCACTAAACCATCTTCATCTCTTGAGGGCGTGTAAGCCGGTCATTTCTTTATCGTAAATTCGTTGTAATTTACTAGTGTGAAAATAATTATTATAATTACAATGCATAGTTTGAGTTAAATAGAAAAGATTTAAGGCAATAATAATATTCTTACTAAAACTTATCTATTCTGTTAAAGTTAATGATTATTAGGTTTCGTTTTATACCTGTTCAAGCTTATGAGAAGACAATTTATTCGATAAACTTATGAGGGATACATTTTTATAAGATACTGAATGCAATTCATGAAATTAACTTATCGTCTTATTTTGTTCCAGTTCACAAAATCTTATTATAAAAATATTAGATCATGTCATTTTATATATAAGATCAACCGAATATAATAATGTAAAATTTGCATGTGCAATTGAGTAGGTTTTATGCAAATCTTACTGCTCACATTTTAAATTAATTGTTAGACTTAAAAGTTATAATTCCGGCTAGTTACTCTTTAGTAAACAATTTTGTGTTGCGGAATAGTGAGATACTTTTTTTTATTTATTCGTTCATAAAAACCCAAGGCAATATTAGAAATCCTTGAAAAATTTAAATAACATGAATGGTTGGTAATTAATACATTAATTCCTAATTTGCATATCCCGTTATAGCCTACAATTATAATAATAATTCCACGAGATCCTTTATTTACACTACACTGTACAGATTCATGCATTTTTGCTATCATCGATGGAAAAATTGTGTTTGTATGTATGTCATATTAAATTTAAACATAATGGGTCATTTTAATAATAGCCTTTGAACATGAATTTGTATTTCCTTTTCAAACTAAATGTGACATGTAACTTTGTCGTCGAGTATCGGCTGTCATAAAACAAATAAATATAATATACAAAGAACGCTGCTTTGTCGGAAAGTCACTTTAATTGGTTCGCAAGCATTTTTGGAATGTATACAATACATGAATTATTTACACCACTCAATTCATTTCTCCGCTAATAGTTTAAGTGCCATAAAGTATCTAACCAAAGTGTAGTGTAGGTCCATCTTAATCTCTTCAAACAAAAATTCTATATTATTTTTGTTTTAGGACCAAAGGTTGATAAGTTCGTTGGACCAGGATTAAATTATGCCCTAGAACAAATTCACAAATTTAAATTTTGTTGAAATAAGTATGCTTACAGTATATATATACAGTATACAGTATATATAAAAGAAATTTGTTGTTAAACATGATTGTTTTACCAATGATTAAAAAAAGGTCTCACAAAAACTAATTCTTCAATACAAATAATTTATTCGTACAGTTAATTACATTGCGATTTTGTATTTAATTTAATATTAGTTAATATGAAAATACAGCTGTGTAACAATTATTATACATACATGTACCAATAGAATTTTGTTTTGTTATCAGTTTCTGTTACTTAACCTGAGTGTCATCATCTTTCTGGGAAAACAACAAAACAGCCTACCTAGTACCTACCTACCCTACATACAATTCTCTCAAAATGGCGAAATACAGCAGTAGAAAAGTGAATATGTGCGTGTTTTAACTGTCAATATGTCACATCAGAGGAGTTGTTGTTGTCAAAGTTATGTTACAAAAATGATTTTTAGTGATAACATTATCTTATTTCATGAATCTTTTTGTTTGAGTTGTAACGATTGGAGTTCTATAGACTATCAAAAATTCGGCTGTGGTCGTGGACATTTTCATGAAATGCGAACCTCAAGAAAAAGTGTTAGAGACAAAATGTGTCAAGCTGGGAAATAAGTAGTTTGAACGTTTTAATTTAATTGGAGATGTATTTATTATTGAAGTGTCTATGACTCTTATGTGGTCAAGCCACATTAGATTTCTATAAAACGTTCTAGATTCTATCCATTGAAATGTTTTCTCAAAGCTTCAATTGCTTGCCTAGTAAAAAACAACCTATTTTTGGTAACCAGTCGCCCCAAAACATGGAATTGTTACGAGGTTTGACAAGTAAACCATACCAAGATCCTGCAAATCATATTAGCATGCATCATACAGTTTCAAATAGAAACCATACTAATTTTGGTACAGGAAGCATAAAACTGATGGATTTTGTTTATAGTTTTACTGAAACTTCAAGACTTGAGTTTGGTAGAAGATATGTTCCAACATTTTCTGTACCATCAGAGAAAATGAAGTTGAGTCATAAAGATATAATAGGCTTACCTCAAACTAACCCCATGACACCATCTTTGGTACGATCCTACGTGGTAGGGGGTTTTGTCGGCAGCAAGAGCCAGCTGGGAAGAAAAAGGAAAAATGATGTTGGGAAATTAAACCTTTGGGATATGATTCGTGATCTGGTCAATTTAGTTGGTAGTGCTCCAAATCATTTCTCTCCGAGACCAACCCCTAACTCAACCCCACATCTAAATAAAAATTCTGAAATCATGCTGGATAGTAGTCTGCAGAAAGGATCATCAGTTAATTCCACTGTTGCTGCTATGAATTGTACAGAAAATCCTCCAAGTTCTACAAAACAATCTTACGCTGACGTTGCTAAGGGCTCTTCTAAACATAATTCTCCTAAAATAATCCCAGAGACTGAGGTCAGGGATATTATTTTTCCAATGCTTAGTGATACGAGGTGTGATAGTACAATATCTGTGATGGAGCCGGTTTCAATATTTATTAAACCCGATTGTAGTAGTAGAGACCGAATTACTTCTGAGTGTTCTGCAGATAGTGAGGATAGCTACATTGTTTTTGAATGTTCTGAAGACGATAATGTGGATAAAGACATTTTCAGCAGTGATGATGACACAATTTCAGTTGATGAGGTAAAGCTAAATCTTTTCTTATATTATTCTTATTTAGTCGGTATTTATTGTGACTAACGTGACCATGGGAACCTATAGGGCCTATTGATTTACCATATCACTAGGGCTGCACTTTACTTCACGTTCTACACTCTTTCGAATGAATATATTGATCGATATATCGATTTTTTAATTTGATATAACTAGTTTGGTTAGTCAGGTTAAAACCTAACCTAACTCGAATGAAATAATCGATATATCGATCTTTTTCATTCCAATGAGTGTAGGCAGGGCCGGTTCTAGGAATTTTTCAGAGTTAAGCGAACACCCGAATCAGCGCCACTTAGAACTCTCCCCCCCCCAAACCCATGAACATAACTTAACCGTATTTGTGAATTTTTCCCCAATAATTTTGGGAAGAATTTTTTTTATAAGTTTAGGTAGAAGAATACTAACTTGCAATAAAAGGCTGTTTATTATTCGCAGAAATGTGACATTTATACACTTTTACTCATCATATAAACTATAGCAAACCAAGGACACACTAAAAAAAAACAGGCCGTAATGTAATGCTGTAATGCTCGTCAAGCATGACGTCACGATAGAAGACGGCAATGACGTAATGTTTGCCGTTTGTGATCAGCTAGGCCTACTTGTTTTAATCTTTCCTTGGAAAATAAATAAATAAATACCTACGTCATTGCCGTCTTCAATCGTTACTTCTTTGGGCTGACTGGACTCGCCACCAGATGATTTCTACAAAAGTCTACTCATTGATTTGGCTTTTCTTCTTCCTCTTCCAAATTCGCCTTTACGCTTTCTATGATAAGTGCCAGACGGTTTCTTTTTTTCTATCATTGTTTTCATAGTTTCGGCTCGCAACATGTTTTACTCATTCATTCAGTTTATACTTTCTTTTTATTTAATGCGCTAATTATAAATTAAACTTAAAACATTCGTAATAATTCGCTTATCAACAATCATGAATCATCAAAACACTGCCAATACGATACCGATACTGTATAGGCCTACGCACGATTACTTGAAAAATACCGGTATGGATCATAAACATAAACAAATGACGTTTTTGGCCCGAAAATAAACATTATTTAACATTGCACAGAACTGCCAAAACATATGTTCAATGCTATTAGTATAGGATTCGGGCCAACAACGTCATTTGTTTATGTTTATGATCCATACCGGTATTTTTCTAGTAATCGTGGGCCTACGTATACAACTAAAAGAGTGCAATAAAATGTAGTGCTCTGCTCTAGGATCAGAGGCAGAAAGGAGTGAAAGAAAGGGGAAGTTTCTTGTTGTGGCAAGTGGCGCTGCGCGCTTGCCTCGAGCATGAGTGATTCGTGAAATGAAACCCATAGCACAGAAAACGTGTTTTCTATGCCCATAGGTGCCGCGCTGGCGCTGACGCTGCCGACTGCCGAGCGTCAGCTCAGTTCAAATCGAAACTGCAAATGGCATTGAGTCCTTGAGTTGTAGTGCTGTACAAATATACAAAATTTTCAAGTGCTGTTGGTGCAAACAGAATAAATGCCTTTATTGTGGTGCTTTGAATACTTGAACTCTGATAAAAAATAAACAAAATTACGTTGTTCACGTAAAAAAAAAGTGTTCCGTTGGCGCCACAGCGCCACTTTTTCGTGGCGCCATATGCGGCCGCGTAGTTCGCGTATGGGTTAAACCGGCCCTGAGTGTAGGACTAAAGTAAAGTGCAGCCATAACCAGAAACTAGATTTTTAGCAGAAAAAAATGTCGCAAAAATTTCTCCGCGCTCATAAATACTAACCGAATTACAGCCGTTTAATGTTTTGTTTATTTACGTAAAATCACTAGGCCTCTATTTATTAGCCTTCAATATTTCATCGAACAAAAAATTTATATCTTACGTTTATTCTTTAAGTGATTAAAGTAACTATTAGAGTACTGTATTAGACTCACTTTTAACCTGAAAATAACAGTAAAAAAATATAGGCCTACTGAGGTCACGAATATTAACTAAGATGGTTTGAGTTTTGATTTAGGCTATTCTATTTACATTCTTGCTTGCCTGCCATCAACTAAAACTGAAACAAAATGAAAATAGCTTTAGCCTACAAAAACTGATTACTGAAGAGGAGAATAAGAATAAGAAGAATAAGAATAAGAATATTTATTTTTCCTTTAGACAAATACATGCATTTGGAATCGTCATAATAATCACAAGGCAAATTCAATAACAATCAACATCATGCTTCTACAAAACTCTCAAAATTTCTACAATAAATAAATAATATATAATAATAAATAATCACTTTATGTTCACAACTAAAACTAAAAGATGCAAGGTCTAATTACACATGCAAGTCAAATAAATATCACATATCAAGAGTCAAAACTTAAAAATAGGTAAAAAACTTAAAAATAGGTACTTACGGATGCTGCTGGTATATTAAAAAAATCATTCCAGGAACACAGTGGGTTGGCCAATAAAAGGTTTCTGAGGTTGGTTTTGAATTTTGAAAAATTCTGGTTTCGGGCTTCACATGGGAGTCTGTTAAAAAATCTTAAACTTAATAAGCTGTGTTGAACTTGACTTTTTCTTAATCTAACAAATGGCACATCAAAAAGGTTCTTATATCTAGTGTCATGCTCATGAAAATCCTCTCTCAAATTAACATCGTCTATCTTACTTTTTAAATTTAATAGGCACACAAATACATATAAACTAAAACATGTCATCAAGCCCTCAGATAGCCTACAAAAATGGGCTTACAATGATCTGTGGACGTTGCCTCAGCCAGCAGACGTACTGCTTTCTTTTGCAGTAGCAATACACATTTTACATCTGGTGCACTGCCCCATAGCCTCAAACCATATAAAATTACACTTTCAAAAAGGGATTTGTAAGCAGTTTTGACATAATCTTTAGGTACACACATTTTCAGGTTTCTGAGCAAGTATAGGATTCTAGACAGCCTACAACAAACTAGATCTATATGACTAGCCCAAGTTAGCCTACTATCCAACACAATACCTAGGACCTTAACACTCTTTACCTCATTATTTCTCAATGAGAAAATTACTGACTCAGTTTTGTCTTCATTTAAAAGAAAGAAATTAGCCCTAAACCAGTCAGCAGCCTGATCCAATGATTGCCCCATGGCAGTTTCCAGCTTTGAAAAATTTTGTTCCGTAAGTACCAGCGAGGTATCGTCAGCATAGCTGACGATCCCAGCATCAACATTACCTGTAATATCATTGACACTTATCAGAAAAAGGAGGGGCCCCAACACTGACCCCTGAGGCACTCCATGGTTCACTTCCCTTAAGGTTGACCTCATACCATTCACATGAATGATCTGCTGTCGTCCTCCCAAGTACGACCTCAGCAGCTCAATTGAGTTCTCCTTGACTCCATAGTGCTTCAACTTGATTAACAACGTGTCATGGTCGACAGTGTCAAAAGCCTTACTGAGGTCACAAAAAGTAACCCCAGTAAAGCTGTTCCCCTCAAAGCCCCCAACAATTTTAGCTACCAGACAATCAATTGCATCAATTGTCGATAGATTACTGCGGAAACCATACTGGGAGGACGTCAACAGATTGTTGCATTCAAAATACCTGTACAATTGAGATTTTAATACTGCCTCAAAGATCTTTGAGAAAATTGGCAAAATGGACACTGGCCTAAAATTTTGCACACAGTCCCAACTGCCTTTTTTGTGAATAGGCACTGTTTTAGAAATCTTTAAAAAATTCGGAAAAACACCCTGCTTGATACACATATTGATACAAAATGTGAGCGGAAAAACTATATGCAAAATGATCCTCTTAACTAATGAATTTGAAATGTTATAAAGATCCTTACTTGTAGAGTTCTTCATCCTTGATACCAACTCAAACACTTGTGTTGGACTAGTCTCTTCAAATTCAAATTGGCTGTTGGGAGAAGGAGTCGCCTGTAGCATCTGTTGGGCGGATGTCGCTGTTACCCCAACTGCCTCTCTCGCTGACTGTACAGAGTTTGTGAAGAAGTCACCAAAGTCATCCGGTAGCAGTGAAGTTGACCTCGGACGACCAGGAGTTGTTTCTGCCTTGATGATGTTCCAGGCCATAGCACATTTATTTGACGAGTTTTCAATTTTTGAGGCATTAAATTCGAGTTTAGCCTGTCTCAGGTCACTTCTGTATTCACGCTTCACGCTGCGGTACAAGTTTTTCAATTCAGGTGAATTTTCAGATCTAAGAAGGTCGTAGATCAAGAGCATCCAATTTCTCTTCTTGAGTAGAGTGTCATTTAACCATGGCAACTTCGGTTTGTTCTTTTTCTTGCGGTATGTTGAAGGCTTGGGTTTTATGCATTTGGTAGGCACACAGTAGTCCATTGTATTTACAAAAAGGTCCAAAAAGAGTTTAAAATTTTCTTCTGCGTTAACAGATGTTAGCACCGTACTCCAGTCAATGTTGTCCAGTTGTGATACAAAATATTGTATCTCTTCTTCGGTGAACTTCTTTACCCACTTTGTAATCATTGCCTCGTTGGAGACAGATTCCATGTTGTTGCAGATAAACTCGGCACATAATGCATCATGGTCACTGATAGCAATCTGTTTTACTTCCACTTTGAGGCAAGTGTCGTCTAAATCGGTAACTATGTTGTCTAGACAAGCTTTTTGGCGGGTAGGCTCATGGTTTTTACAATAAATATTAAGAGATCTAAGTAAATACAGAAATGAAGCTGACCTCGTGTCTTGAGTAAGGATATCCACATTAAAATCTCCACCTATTACAAGGTAGTTGTCAGTTCTCAGGTTGCTCAGAGAAATTACAAGTTCTTCAAAGGCAGTCAAAAATTGTTCAAGATCACCATTAGGCGAACGATAAACTCCAACAAATAAAATATTTACAAAATCTAAATGAATACATACAAATTCATGGTGAAGTTCACGGCAAAAATTTGAGACATCAATGACCTTGAAATTGTTTGCAAGGGAGTTGGCTAAAAATAGAGCCACACCCCCATGTTTCATCTCAGTTCTACAAAAGGCACTCGCCAACGTAAAACCGCACACCTTCTTGCAAGAAATCATTTCGTTTGTTAGCCAGTGTTCAGACAAACAGAGCACCATAAAGTCATCCAGTGACAACATAACCTCCAGTTCAGGGATTTTATTTTCCAATGATTGTACATTCAGGCACAACATACGGATTTTGGTAGGCCTAATTCCATTTCTTGACCCTACCACACTGGTACAGGTGCTTAAGGATTCTTGGTTCTGTGGAAAGTTCGCCCTAAAAAAGTGCTAGCATTGCTAGGCCTAGAACCACGTCGTGATGGAATAAAAGATCGCACCAGTACACCATCTGGCCAGAAGTTAGGATTTAGTAAGTCACTCTCACAGTTTGTAGGTACGCCTACTTTGAATGAGTTGTAGGACTTGTATTTTGCTTGCAACTGAATACACTCAACATCAGCAACACCCTTCTCAGTTAAATAGTTCAAAACTCCGTCACAAGTTATATTGGGTGAAACTCTCGACACAAATAATAGGGACCGCTGGATTGCCGAAGCGAAGAGAAGAGAGAGGATAAAAATAAGTTAATGCTAACATATTCAAAGTACATGTTTTACAGACATCTAAAACACAACTGAGCACTGAATTTTTCATATTTCATTTAGACACTGTGTGCATGCAAATCAAGTTGGGCTTTATGCGGATTGGTGGCTGTATTAAGTGTTTTGAAGTTAGGAAAGATTAGGAAGGTAAAGTGTAGGTTATAGTGAACAGAGTTGATAGTTTATATTACACAAAGACTGCTTTTGTGCTATTGAAATAGTGGCTTAAACACAACAAAATAACAATTTCGAAAATGTTTGCTACTTAAGAGTGTAAAGTGCACTGTTTCATGACGACCAATCCCACGATGTCCAAAAATAGCTTGTCATGACGTCCAAAGCTTGTAGAAAGATTATGTTTATTGCACTTAATATACCTTTGGACGTCGTGCAACAGTCAAATAGTTTATATTGGACGTCGTAAAACGCTCAAAAATTATATTTTGGACGTCGTGACACTGACTGTTATCATTAGACGTCATGGCACTTGGATGTCGTGCAATATATGCAACAGTAAAGTAGTTGTCAGTCAGCAGTGAATTAAATAATGATGAGGTTATATGCTGGCTTTTGATGATACAATATAGTTTGACCAGCAATAGAAATTTTAAATTAATACTTAACATAAACGTGGTGATAATTTGGCAATAATAAATTCAATTAGCCTTAGCCTAGTTCTTAAATGTGTTCATATTTCAAATATAATAGATAATTTTTACCGTAAGTGCACTTTCCTTCAACGCAGGCAAAGAAAATTCAATTAAGGTCTTAGCTAATCGTTAATGGAAGTTTAGCCTATAACAAGATATTGAGAGTATTATGGATAAAGCCTACACCTAAGGTCTAACGCTTTGTAAGGTCTTCTTAAAGAAATCAAGCAAGGCATAAATTAATAAATCATTCAGGTGGTAAAAGGGTTTTACGTCTAACCAAGATTAGCCATGCATAGGAAAGCATCCAATGTAAACCAGGGGGCATAAATTTTTACTAAAAAACTAATACTAAACAAAGAAAAATATATTAAATAATTAGTTGAAAGCAACCACCCCTTCCAGGGTCAAATTTACTTTATATGCTCTATCAAAAGTTTCTATTCCAGGTGTCACAGTCAGATAGTGGAATCGTGCCTTCAAGTAATTCCAGTTTTTGCAACAAAACATCACCAAAAAAGGTAATTAACCCAAACTCTTTAAACTTATTTTAATTTAAGTTAAAAATGTTATTGTTTTGGTATAGACCAATCAAGATCAGTTGTCTTAGGTACAACTCAACAAGACATGCTTCTAGTTAAACAAATATATTCTCCTCGGAGCTTTGATCTGACTTTGCTAAGGTTGGGTAGGGTACGTAATCTTGTAGATGAATTTAGAGAATTCACCCAAGTGTTTGTTGCGAAAGTTTACTGTATACAAATATTACATGTAGGCCTGATTAAAAAAAAACATTCCCACATTGTTTAATGGACCATTATGACTTTTTATAGTAGGTTTAACTATGAAAATATCATACTCTCACTGCAGCAATCCTGCTGACTAAGCAAATTTCCATTTGCCTGATTAGGATTATCACTGAAATTCTTTGTTTGAAGTTCATTGTTGGTGATGGTGAGTTAATGTTGTTCAAAGGTTTATTGCGGACATTTTCCATCACGAAAGTAAAAAAAAAACAATACACAACGTTTCGGGATCTGGAATCTGATCCCGTCTTCAGGTGAAAAAACTTAACTAACACATTACAACTAACAATACACAAACGCCCAACCTAAGTTGGAATACACTACCGAGGGTAGTAGTCAAAAAATATGCACTGTATAGCAGTCAAGTCATGATACAACATGCAATTAATAACAAATCACAAAACACTATAATCTATAAAAGGTTTACGTACAAAAAACTCACACAATGGAACAATAACAACACCGTACGCTATGACTCCACCAATGAAACTGAACCAACATCCAACATGGCTGACCAATCGGAAACACGGAGACAACAGAAATGGCTTCCGGTCCCTGGAAAAGTAAAACCAACAGAATGGCGGAGCGATGTACGATGCCGCAAGATGGGTGTTAATTATGTTTATTCCTATCACGAGTTTTACTACGAGTTAACATAACGTGCGAATTTTGAGGAGAACTCGTTATTTCCCTATTTATTGAACAATTAAGTTCCCTATCCTTTAGTTCCTTGTTCAAAATTTCTGTTCTTGGAAGCCATTTCTGTTGTCTCCGTGTTTCCGATTGGTCAGCCATGTTGGATGTTGGTTCAGTTTCATTGGTGGAGTCATAGCGTACGGTGTTGTTATTGTTCCATTGTGTGAGTTTTTTGTACGTAAACCTTTTATAGATTATAGTGTTTTGTGATTTGTTATTAATTGCATGTTGTATCATGACTTGACTGCTATACAGTGCATATTTTTTGACTACTACCCTCGGTAGTGTATTCCAACTTAGGTTGGGCGTTTGTGTATTGTTAGTTGTAATGTGTTAGTTAAGTTTTTTCACCTGAAGACGGGATCAGATTCCAGATCCCGAAACGTTGTGTATTGTTTTTTTTACTTTCGTGATGGAAAATGTCCGCAATAAACCTTTGAACAACATCACTGAAATATTTCTATTTCCTCAATAATGCCAGAATTATTCTCTGTTTGGATAAAATTAGGTTTATCGATTACTTGGGGTTGCTGCAACAAGGAAGGTAATAAATTGGGGTTTTAATGATATGTTAATTGCTTAGTATAAAATAAATACAGAGAGGTGCAAAAGTAGGTATACAGTACAAACAGGCAAACAGTTTGAACACACAAGGAAGTGAGTGTTTTTGTCAAGTACAGTATGTTTAAGAGTTAATTAGGTGTATTAATACTCTTCAGATTAATTTGAAAATGTTTGCTTTTTATACGAGTAAATATATTTTTCTATAAAATGTTTCATTAGTGTATACCTACTTTTGCACCCCTCTGTATATTGAATTTGATCTAAATTTATCCATAAACAAGCAAACTACAACAATTTGACTATCGTATTCTTCATAAGAATAATACGGGCATTTAAAATTACGGTAACATTTTCTGAAATTTTCCATGTTACTATTGACCATATATCAACACTTTGATATACCTACTAAATAATTGTTTTTTGCTGGCTCTAAATAATGGTTTATAAAGAAATGGTGGCATTTTATATTTTAACCCTCCGAGCGTCCATCGTCGAAAAATCGACGCGCTACACACTTTGTGTAGTGTCACGCGTCGATTTTTCGACGCACGAACATCGTTTACGGCGAAGGCTCTATGACTGACTGAATCGGATTGAACTGGATCGAGTTAGGTATCGTTCTTTCCGTTATATTCTAAGATTTCTCCAGAGGTCTGTCTCAGCGCTGTATGTTCTCCGAGCCGATCGTAATTGTAGCAGACAGCTGACGTGCGTATTCGTAAACAGCTTGGTTATCCTCGGACCGATGACTGATGTGTTTTATTACGTTTATCATTGTTTTAGTGTTAAAAATCAAAAGTAGTGATATACGTGGTGCATTATAAGAAGATTTAAGTGATTTTGAAGGGCTGGTTGATGATCCTGAAGAAGTAGGTAGTGATATTGATGTAAATTATCAGCCAGATTCCTAGCTATGGTTAGGCTATGCATTCTTAGCTAAACGCTATGTACTGAAATCCGTTTTTCACTCATAACTTATTTATTTGATAACTTACCTTACTATATGATTATATATTTGTAATCCTCATTAAATTTAAAACAAAGTGGCTATTTTCAAATATTTATAGGCCTATAATTTATACAATTTCATTGAGCGCGAACTTATTTTTTTTTCAATTTTTCCAAAATAATTTTTTTTTTACCTAAAAAATTTTTTTGAAACAAATTTTCCTTATGTTTTATGTATGATATTGAAGCCCATGATTTTCCAAACAAAATGGTATATAGAACATTAGAATTAACATTGTTTTAAGCTTCTCAGATCCGTTTTAATAAAACCTTGCAAATGCGCCAAAAATAGGTGGACATTAAGGCCTAAACTATGGACACTTGGAGGGTTAAAGGTAAAAATAAGATAACCCATTTTTACCCAAAAACCAAGTTTTCCTCATGCTGGTCCACAAACTCGTTCGGTTTACATGTTTGTACCAAATTTAATCGAATCGGATAATTTTTACTTGAGTTATTGTGCTAACGGGACAAGAGTACACATATACAGTACACTCCCGACTATCCAAGCAAGCTGAACAAGCCATCTGCAGAATGTGAATAATAGTAGTGTTCTGCTGTCAAAGAACCTAATAGCTTAATCAATTTGTATGAAGTGAGCCAACATAAGCTTCACAGGAGGTTCTCTTAAAAACTCTGTGACAACTGTTGTTCTTTGTATTTTACTGAACATGGATAAACTTTATCTCTTGTGTACAACTACAGTGCAGTAACAGAAAAAAATAAATAATGCAGGCCTGTTCATCGCCAACAATTTAGACGGTAGAGGTGTTGTGTCTGAATCTGCACGCCTGGTCTGTAAGAACGATGTTTTCAGCGTTCGCGCAAAGTATAAATACCCACAACCCAGTCATCACATTCACTCACATCACGTTGTGGGTATTTTGGATTTGCTAGATCTAAAGATCATTTCGACTTCGGCATTTGAGTAAATCAGTTTACCCACAACGCGTTAGTGGGCATTTCCCTTTGGCCAATGTCCGAATAAAATGCCCACTCCATGACATGAGTATTTTACAATGTCCACATATCGTGATGTGGATAAAAATTTCCGACATTGTGCAAATTTAAAGTGTTAAATTTTTTTCCGGGTGTTCAAATTACAAGTAGGGCTACTGTGAGACACTGTTCAATTAAAAAAAAACATCCGTTGGCATCCATGTTTTCTTTACTTCATTGCCTATAAGCTGATATGCATTTTTACATGTTTATCCATTAGGTTTAGTATTATTAGGAATTTATTGTAAATATGACTTATTATGGTGTTTTTGCAAGCTCAAATAGATTATGTATTGTATGTCTACAATTGTTTTTTTCTAAAGATCTGGGCCCCTTAAATTTTTGACAAGTCTATTAATATTTTATTTATTAGGTAGTGGAATCACACCTGGAAACTTAATTTCAAACCTTTCTTGGCATAAAACCAATGACTTACTTTTAGCGTAGGCCTACCTATTCATCAACAATAGATACGTCAGAAGACAATCTAAGGGTTAGGTTATATGCCTCGGTTCTAACCTAACATACCCTAACCCAACCCAACCTAAATTTCCTTACCCTAACATGACTTGTAGGTAATAATAACATTTCAACCTGAAAAAAAAGGTTGTGATTCAAGGGAAGGGTACACTATTTTATCATAATACATTAGAAAAGGTCGAATTAATGGCTTTTGTGCGGCAAAAATGTGTCTTATCTTTCTAAACAGCCATTCTTGTTTTGACTTGTGCTCAAATTCCAAAATCAAAACTGTAACCCAATGTTTTAAAGTAGAAACAACTTAATATCCTATCATTTAAATTGATAATCGAACGTCTTCCAAACCAACTTATTTAGCGTATATAGAGTAGGTCTACATGCCAGTAATTTTACGCATTCTGTTTGAACTCCCAGTTTTACTTGATGAATCCTGAACATGGAGTAATTTGATTGTAATAACTCATTTAGCCTAGTTTTCAGCGAGTAGTATTAATTCACTATGTTTTACCAACCATGTTTTGCTCTTGATTGACTTTAATAGCCAGGGCAACATAGGTGGAGAGTCACTATTAAAAAGTCTTTAACCAGGTTTTTTTTTTTATTTTGATACCAACTGGACATAAGAAAGAGACTTGGTGGTATCAAATTTCCTTTATGACTGTTCTTTCCACTTTTTAAAATATAACACAATTTTATTAGTACATTACTGAACCCCCAATCAACCTATTATATCTCTGACAATGATTTTGTAACTAATTTTGATGTTAGTTTGTGTTGATATGCTCTGAGATGCATACTTAAGTGTTAAATTTTCCCAGTCAAAAAGCGGAGACAACACATGATAAGGTACCAACTGTAGCGCTATTACTGTACCTTAAGTTATGACTTGGTTACAAATATATTTTAGAAAACGTGTAGCCTACCTAAAGGCGGTTTCACACTGGTGTCCGTGGACGATAATTTCGTCC